GCCTCTGACTAAACCATCACACGTAATCCCTTCCTGCCCTGGCACCTCTCGCATCGCACTTCTCTGCCCACCCCCTCCGCTCATCTAACACAAACCTGCTACGTGCACCCCCCCCCACCCACCACCCACCACCCCCCCCCACTCCCTCTGTCCCTGTCCTCATGTGGGGGCTGAGCCTTCAGTCGTGATTCCCCCCCTGGAACTCTCTTCCTCCACCCCTCACAGACTCCTTTTACGTTATTCCTTTTCAAATACGTATCCGATCCTATTTACGTCAACGCCACTAGTTTTCACTTCAATAGCCTCTTGCGACAAAGCTTTCCACGTTCTGCTCACCCGCTATACAATATATATAGATATATAGGTGTACCTTTGTCAGCCGTGTGTTTGAACCAGTTGCCTGGCTTAAGAGTCTCACAAACTACTGAGTTTGGTAAAGCTCTAAGCGAGTTTCTCCCACCCCCCCACCCCCAGAAGAGCCTCTCCCCTTTAATCTTCCCCGCACACTGGGCCAAAATTATTCCCTTTCAAACTCCTGACCATAGCTTTCTATTCAGTATGCAAATCCTACTAATTGCAGTGTTTGATATATCTTATATATTTTTTTGGTGGGTGGGGTGAGTGGAATCCAGCATTTTTGCGATTAAAGAGCGCCAGGGAAGATTACCGCAATCGGAGCCTGTCGGCATTCTATAAATCAACCCCAAAAGCAGTGCGATCGGGAATAAAAGGATCCCAAGTCCTGGCTGGAACAGCTTCAGGCTCTCGTTTCTCTGAATCGTATTCCGATCGCTCAAACGCAATAACATTTCCAATCTGACAAACTGCGGGGCAGGAATTCTTCCCGCTCAGCTCCTGTTAACCCCTGCACACCAATGCCCCGATTGATAGGGTGGTCTGCGCACGAACAAGCGTGAGAAAGCTCCCCAGTCAGCGCTCTCGATGGCAAGTGCTCCCCAAACTCCCTTGAGTTTAGTAAGGTCAAGGGGTGACCTGACTTCAAAATATTTTGCCCACAAAATACACAGTCACTGCGCTTTACTGTGTATTCTGTGAGGCACTTTGAGACGACTCGATAAGGCGCTATATCAAGTGCAAGGATTATTATCTTTTATTATTATTATTATTGAGGTGTTTAAAATAGTAAAGGGATTCGATAGGGTAGCTCCAGAGAAACTAGAAAGATGTGTGTCAGGTCAGGGTATCAAGGGATATGGAGCAAAGGCGGGTAAATGGATTTGAGGTACAGATCAGCCATGACCTAACCGAATGGCGGAACAGGCTCAAGGGGCTGAATGGCCTCCTCCTGTTCCTATAAACCTTGTCTCTTTTGCCAACGTGTGCTTAATACGTCCCAGCGTTGTGCGGGCAGAATTTATCCCCGCTTTATCCCTGTAAAGAAAAATCCAAAACCGTGAGCCTTTTTTTTGTTATGATTACGAGCGGAAAAAGAGAGGAGAGGAAGGGGAAAGGGAGAGAGACAGAGAGTTGGGGGGGGGGGGGGGGGGGGGGCGGGGGAGAGAGGGAGGAGATAGAGAGAGAGAGAGAGAGACAGACAGACAGAGAGAGAGAGAGAGAGAGGTTGGGGCTGCTTTGACACGTTTCCATGTCACTGGGTTGGCTCAGGCTCAGTTGGGCAGGTGCTTGGAGATGGAAATGATGCACACACTGAGTGAGTTAGTGAGTGAATGAGCGAGCGAGCGAGCGAGTGAGTACCAGGGCTTTGACAAACTGCTCCCAGGGTTTCTCTTGTCCGGAGGTGGCCAGCGGCGGCAGCTAAAGGGCCGGACTGCCGCACGAGGGGAAATGGGAGCATCTGAGGAGAGGCGCTGCGTGAAAGTGCGGCTGGACTGCTTTCTCTCATACGCTCACTGTTACAGCGTAGGTCCTCTCTGTTTGATTCAAGTCAGCGCAAGGCACGGTACTTTAACAGACCTCGGTTTGTTTTCGCTGGAGGTTTTCTTAAAAGCATGTGATTTGGGAAGCCTGGATGTTAGCAATTGCCTGTGGCTTATGTGCATGGATCCTATTGATATCCCTTGAAGCTCGTTTTCTCTCTCTCTCTCTCTCTCTCTTTCTCTCTCTTTCTCTTTCTCAGTCTCTCTCTCTCCCTCTCTGTCGCTCGGTGCGTGAAAAAGATCCAGCCAAACAGCCACCAAAAAAAGGATGATTTTTTTTTTTTTTTTTTGCAACCAGTCTACGAGAGTCTACGTTCATCGGAGTTTTAGGCAATCGATGGGTTCGAATCCCTTTTGCTGACTGAGTTAAAGTCCTGGTGATGCGAATCTGTTCAAGTATTAGAAGGTCTCGTTTTTTTTAAAGAGCATTTGCACTGACTGCTGCGGGATCCTGATGGTGAAATGGGGGGTGTTTGTTTGTGGTAAGGGGTTGGTGTGTGTGTGGGGTGGGGGAGTGTGTGTGTGCGTGTGTGTGTGTGCGCGCGTGTGCAATGAGATTGCCAGTGCCAGAGATAATGAGTGTTTCCCACAAAATACACAGTCAAATACACTTTATAGTGTATCCTGTGAAGCGCTTTGAGACGTCGCGACGACGTGATAAGGTGCTGTATCTCAAATGCAAGGATTATTATCATTACTATTATTATTCGTAATGCTTTTGTGGATCTTGTGTGAAACAAGAGGCTGGAAAGTTTTAACTGCTCGAGCGCTGAGGTTTGCTCCGTAGCCCGCGAGTCACCGATGCGTCCGTTTGTAATTAATTAAACGGAGGAGTGCGACTGAACATTTCTGTCGGAGGAAAACAAAGTAAAACGTGGAACCTCTGCGAAGGATGATAAGAGTGCACAGGGACCACCACGACTATTCTTGTTGCTTATCTTTACTATTAAGGTGTCAATACTTGTCCTGAAAGGGTTAAATCTCGAACTTTCTTTAGAACAGATTATATTTTGTAAACGACGTCTCTAGTTTATTAAAAAGGGTTTGAGCCACTGTACTTTAAGATGGTTTATTTTAGAATGTGCATGTCTTACAACTCCCAATAAAATATTCAGGTCCACTTTTTTGGTATCGCATTGATCACTGATTCTCGACTGGTACTGTGATGGGAGCCCTTTATTTCACAGCCCTCTTCCCCCCACCCCACCCCACCCCCCCCACCCACCCACGCTGTGTGTTCAGCTGCTTCGAAATGGTGGAGGGGGTGTGGGGGAGGAAATAAATATGTAGTTTAGCAAATACCAACTCGGGGTGGGTGTGGGGAGAGATGTGGCTTCTTGGTAATGATGTATTAATTTCAGCCAACAATCATTTTTATGGGTTTTTTTTTGCTGGTCAATCTGTCCCTCGCTGGAAAAATGTTACGGTTTCTGAATCGGAAACCCTGACCATACAACACACACACACAACGATTAAAAAGCCTTTCAATCATTCAGCTCATCGGTTGGCAAACTCGCCCTGTGATCGCGGACTGTACTTATACTGAGAGATGTCATTGTTTGGGGCGTTTCCAGGGCCTCTGGTGTTTTGGATCATTATTATTTTCGGATGATGTTAAGGGATGTGGTCAGATTGACTGACTTAAAGTTCACAGGGTTTAACAGGCGAATGAGTTCCCAGGCTCTTAAATCAATTTGACGTCGTGAAAGGTGTCTCTTTCAAGTCAAAAACTGCACAGAACTCGCTTCCTCTGAGCTGTGTTTCAGTCCAGCGCAGGAAGATGTGAGGATTATTATTGTTGCACTTATGGCTGTGATTGTGTGGCTCAACGACTTCGTGGTCCGATCGTTTGGGTTGGAAACCATTCGCGCTACACGAGTAAAGACTGCGAAGCTCAACACAATTATTGGCGTTCGGGCCGCATGTCAGCCTGGCTCAGTGGTAGAACTCTCTCTCTCTCTCTCTTTCGCCTCTGAGTCAGAAGCTTGTGGGTTCAAGCCCTCACATCGGGACTTGGAATCACACAGTCTAAGCTGACGTTCCAATGCAGCGCTGGGGGTGGGGGGGCGCGGGTGTTGCATTGTCGGAGGTACCGTCCTTCGGATGAGACGTTAAACCGAGGTCCCGTCTGCCTGTTTGGGTGGATGGTAAAGATCCCGCAGCGCTATTGGAAAGGAGAACTGAGTGTCCCTCGCTCTCCTGGTTTCCAAGCCACACCGTCAGGGCTTTAAACGGTTGGCAACGAACCTAACCACCACCTCTTTCGTAAGAGTCACCCGACGAACTGGCCTGGCTGGCGAGCGAGGGTAAAAGGTAGCGGAGGCTGAGCTTTACAGAACGGACGTGTGTTGACTGAGTGCTTTGACGGGTTCCCCCCCGAGCTGCTGACTGGTGGCGGCACACGGAAATATAATGATCAGCGGTCGATTGACGAGCAAATTGTTAAAAAAAAAAGAAAAAGCCTCTCGCATAACACTTGCCCGAAGCTCGTTCTGTCTCTTTCTCTCTCTCTCTCTCTCTCTCTCTCTCTCTCTTCCCCTCCGATCAGTGGAAATTTCCAAGGTAAGCGATGCTTAGTATAGCGAATGGAACAGGCGTTGCAAATCATATGATTCAAAAGATTTTTGCTGCTTGAGGACAGGACGCACTTTCTCTCGCTCTCTCTCTCCCTCCCTCTCTGTCTCTGTCTCTGTCTCTCTCTCTCTCTCTCTCTCTCCCTCTCGCAGGTTGGTGAAAGCTTGGGGGGAAACTAGAGTGTTCAAGGGGGATGGTCTTGGGGGGGAGGCGGTTGGGAGGGGGAGAGGGTTTACGCCATGTCACAATATGAGTGCAATCACAGTACGCACGCACACTCCCAACAGTAAGCACTCTAAAGATGTACAAACTGTAACAGCAAGTTCACGGTGACAGTGAACAGAGTATGTCAGCAAAACATCTGCTTCGTAGGAGTGTAAACCCACTGTACAGTGTGCACGGAGTCACACTCCGAAGAAGAGAAGCCCTTTGAGACGTCTTGAAGACGCGATAAGGCGCTGTGTCAAATGCAAGGGAGTCAGACCCCCTGGGAAGATTGCCCCTGTTATCCACCTGGTTTGTTTGCAGGCCGGACTGAGAACTCTGCACGACATCGGACCGGAAATCCGCAGAGCCATTTCGTGCGATCTACAAGACGAGGACACCATGGAGAGAACGCAGGAAGAAGAGGAGGACATATACAGGGTAGGGGACTCTTCGCTGCCGCCTTAGGAGCTCCGTCTAGCAACTTGTCCAGGTGTCATCCTTGCACGAGCGAGTGTGGGTTGCTCCTAAAGTTCGGGCTGAACGGAACAAGTCCAGGGGTAATAATCCCTTCAAAAATAACCAAATAATAATATTTTGGTCACTCAATCCATGACTGGTGGTGGGACGCTGCTGCGTGCAGTTGTCAGCCCGGTCAAACACACAGTCACTCCACTTTACCGTGTGTTTTGTGAGGCGCTTTGAGACGTCTCGACCGTGTGATAAGGCGACCCGATCAAATTCCGTGAAGAGAGTCGGAATTGAGGGCAGCCGGCATTGCTTCGCACAGAAGGCTGTGGAGACGTAGAACTCTCTGCCCCAGAAAACTGTGGAGGAGGAACCAATAGAGGCGTTTAAACACAGAACAGAGATTTGGGTCAACCTGTATTAAAAAGGGTGTGGAGAATGGATTCAGCATCCACAGCCTTTTGGGGGAGAGAGAGTTCCAGATGTCCACTCTTCACTTTGTGTGAAAAACTACCTCTAATTTTAAGATAATGCCCCCCTCCCCTTGTTCTGGATTCCCCTCCACCCACCAGAGCAAATGATTTCTCTGGCGTTATACCGTATCGAATCCCTTTTGTTATTTTAAACACCTCATTCAGATCACCGCCCTCGACTCTCTAAACTCAAAGGGAATACAAGGCAAGTTTACGCCACCTGTCCTCATAATGTAACCCTTTAAAGCCCCCGTCTAAAACCTTTGGGCATCGATGCTTCTTCCACAAGATAAATGTATTTTTATTTTATTTGTAATAAACCCTTCGATTTCCTTTGTTAACTGTTGACTTCCGGTTTTCCGGGGGTACCACAACCCCTTCAAAAATAAAATAAATCAATAAATAAATCAATAAATCCAAATAATAATTTGGTCACTCAATCCACGACGGTTTGCGGGACGCTGCTGTGCGCAATTGGCTGCCGCGTTCGCCCAAAAATATACAGTCAATTCACTTTACAGTGTGTTCTGTGAAGCGCTTTGGGACGTCTCGAAGACGTGATAAGGGCTATATCAAATGCAAGAATTATTATTATTATTATTATTTAAACCCTGATATCGGGGGTGGAACTGGGGCGCACTTTCAATCTGTTCCAAAAAAAAAAACACGAGTGGCTCTGGTGTTTTCACAGAGAAGCGGTGGTCTTTTTGGCAACCACGTAACCCAGGCACCAGAGGAGAGACGGAACTCCAGCCAGCAGACCTTGGCCACGCAGAGGCCCCTGAAGGTGAAAAGGTCCTTAACCCCCCCCACAGCCGACGACTCCGACACCTCCCCCCTGTCCTCCAAACACGGCAACTCCGTGTCCCACAACCAGCTTAACCATCACCTCTTGAGCAAGGCTTCTCCCAATTCCACCAACGCCAACCTCAACAATGCCAACGTCTCCAAGGTAGCTAACGGGAAGCGGCTTGGCTCTGGGAACAGCGACCCCCCAATGGCAAACAGTCACCACGGCTCCGGCACCTCGCTCCGCAAGGACACCCCCAAAAAGCCCAGGAAACCGAGCGTCAAAAGGTAACGAGCCTCAGTCGTCTGTTTGTATTCAATCACGGACCACTTCCTACCCCGGCACCTCCTCTCCCTCTCCCACCTGCTCGCACCCCACTCTCTGTCGATCGCCCCCTTCGCTCGACTGGTTCGGACCTTCTGCGTGTCTTTCAACCCCCTCCACTTCACCATCAACGGGCCGTGCTTTCAGCCACTACACTCAGAACCTCTGGAGCTCTCTGCCCCAATCCCTCCCCCTCGCCTCGGCCCACTCTTCCTGTCTTCGGATCGCACTTGAAGACTTTCCTCTTCGATCGTCCTTCGGTCACCTCCCCTTTCTCCCCGGCTCAATATCGGGGATGGGGTGGGGGGAGGGGGGGGAATTCGTTGGGAAGGAAAGACAACAGTTACTCATAAGAAAGGGGTCATTGGCAGAGCATTCGAGGGAGTAAAGCAAAAACAGAAAGAGGAACTCAGGAGCTAGAATTCATTTAAGGTTATTCTCTCATCTTAACACATTACAAAATAAATCCCAGCATCTGACCATTTTACGTGCTCTTAATCACCAGGTCGTTTTTTTTTTTTATCTGCGCAATTAGAAACTCTGCGGTCACCCCCAGTAATTAGCTGTGTTTCGCTGAAGGTCAGACCGTGCTCAGGCTCTCGTGTTTTGCTGGAGTCCTGTAGCTCAGTGGTTAGAGAGGCGAGAGAACCGGGGTTCGATCCCCAGGCAGGGCCGAACCTTAAGCGAGCAAGTTACTTTGCGAGAGAATATCGGTGGCCAACTATGCAACAAAAATAAGTCGGTCGAGGTTTCTTTCATGGGGGCTGTACTGGAGAGGGCTATATATATATATATATATATAGACATACTCAGTCCTCAGATATAGATGTCTATATATATAATATATATAGACATCGATAGACATAGATGGCCAATTTACATTCCAAGCAGAGTTTGCCCAGAGCACAGCCAGTAAAGTCTCTGTGTGCTTTTACTAAGATGCCGTTTCTCTTTTCTTATAACTCTTTCCTGGAACAGGACCCGCTACTATGAGACTTACATCAGGTATGTCCTTTACACTCTCTATGATCTCGCCCTCCCTTCCCCTCCCCTCCCCTCCCCTCCCTCCCTCCCCCCCCGCCACCCCGGAGTTTCTCCGACTCGCTCCTCAAGTCGTACATCTTTTCCCAAATCCTTTCCTGAAATCCCAACACGATTTGCGGTCGCCAAAACCCATCTGCCGCCATCGCCCAAAATAACACACCCAGTCGCCCCGCCTTTGCAGTGAACCCCGTGGGGTGCTTCGAGGATTCTCCCCGACGTGAGAGGCGCTGGGCCGAGCATCGAGGTTTGTTGTTGTTAATCACAGGTCAGAGGCCGGCGACGGCTGCTTGCCCACCATTTACCGAGACGTCCCAGAGCCAGACGACTATTACGAGGATGAGCGCTATTCGGGGGATCAGGAATATTACAGCGGGGAGGAATATTACGAAGAGGACATTATGCTTCCGCCAGAAAAGTAAGTCAGCCGCCAGCGTTTGGAAATTCGGTTGGGATCCTCTCACTCTGGCCTGCTCCACGCCCCCCGACCCACCCGCCCCACCACTGGCGGGAGAGCCTTCGGCCACTCTGCCCCCAACCTCTGGAATTCCATCCCCCAATCACTCCACCTCGCCGCCTCAAGACCCTCCTCTTTGACCATGCCATCGGCCACCCCCCTTCCCCTCCCCTCCCTTCCCTCTCCCCTCCCTTCCCTCTCCCTTCCCTCTCCCTTCTCCCTCCCTGAAAGGCGCTATACAAATGTAATCTTGTTATTGTTTTTAGGTATAGTGCAAAATGCCTTTTTTGGGAGTATAAATATACATGTGCAAATCATATAATGGATATAATGTGCAAATCGAGGCTTCATGGACAACAGCCACAAGGCCATATTAAAGGGCAATCTGTTTGGTGAATGACCACAAGTCTAAACATACCTGTTGTTTTGCATTGAATATCAATGGGGTGATTTATAAGAGTCTCACCATTTGAATATTTCCAATCTTTGTTCCAATTAGCAACGAAACACAAATTTTATTTACCCAACGCCTTTTGTGTCAGACGGACAATGCAAAGCATTTCACACAGCTGATGCTCGGGGCGGGGGGGGGGGGGGTGGGGGGGTGGGGCGGGGGGGATGGTAGAGGGAGATGACCCCAAAAAGGTGTTGAGTTTTGAGGTGGGCTTTGAAGGTAGGGAGAGAGGGGAAGGGGGCAGGTGTTTCACCCACAAAATACACAGTCACCGCACTCCACAAGTTGGCTGCCCACAAAAATACAGTCAATTCACCTTGCAGTATATCCTGTGAAGCGCTTTGAGACGTCTCGAAGGTGCTATGTCAAGTGCAAGGATTATTATTATTACATTCTCTTTTGTTCCTCCGCCTCTCCTCTCCTGCCCCCCACCCACCCACCCCCCACCACCACACCACTCAGGCAGTCGAATAGCAGCCATCAAACTCAGGGGCAAAGCAACGAACTGGATTTCGAACGGCCGAAGGGTTACCATCACCCCTACGAAGACTATGGCGATGACGAGCCCCAGGTTTATACTGAAGTGCGTCGCTCGCCCAGGAGACGACTCCTCCCACCAACACCGCTCCGTGAGTACCCAACCCAATCCAACCCAACCCAACCCAACCCAACCCACCCAACCCAACCCAATCCAACCCAACCCAACCCACCAACCCAACCCCACCCCCAACCCACCCCAACCCAACCCACAGACCCACGGAGACTAAAGGCACAGAAGAAAGCCATCGTGTCTATCACAGCTCAGTAAAACAACCCTTTCAGTCCCTGCCCTCTTAAGACCCGTCTGAAGACCTTCCTCTTCGACCGTGCCTTCGGTCATCCTCCCCCCACCCCCACCTCCCCACTTGCTCTCCACTTCTCTTGACCCCAACCCCCAACTCGGGTGCAAACCCTTCACTGTCTAGCGCCTTCGGACGTCCTCCCGACATGATAGGACGCTGTGTGAATGGACGTTGTCGTGAGCCAGCTGATGTGATCCCACTCTCTGCTGCTTTGTTTTGTCTTGTTCTCTTTTCACAGCAAATCGGAGACCCTCCTTCAATTTTGAATGTCTACGCAGGCAAAGCAGTCAGGACGATGTCTTGTTGTCTGCCGCGTTCCAGCAACGCACCGCTTTACCTCTCCATCTAATGCAGCACCAGGTCAGCTCATTATTATTATTATTATTATTATTAGTTTCCCATCACTGACCTCATAGGAACATAGGAACAGGCGTAGGCCATTCAGCCCGTCAAGCCTGTCCCTCCGTTCTGTTAGATCACGGCTGATCTGTACCTCTGCCTTTGCTCCGTGTCCCTTGACTACCCTGACCCGACCACAAGCTTATCGACCGACTTCGGTCTTGAAGACGTGAATAATGGATCCAGCGTCCACAGGGAGGGGCTGGAGGGGGGGGTGGTGGTTCCAGATTTCCGCTACCCTTTGTGATAAGTCCCCCCAGAAATTTGTAGCGAGCGGTTTGCCTTGGGGCGTATCTGGTGGACGTATCTCGCTGAGCGTCTGCCTGCTGATCCTCTCTGGTGATGTGTTCTCCCCCCATCCCTCTCCCCCCCCAGGTGATGGCAGTGGCCGGGCTGGACTCCTACCGGGGGAGGAGACACTCGCCCACGAGGTCCACCCGCTCCTGGGCCACCCCCCCGGCCACGCCCCCCAACAGGGAGCGCTCCCCGTACTACACGCCTCTGATCCGGGTGGAGCGGGCTGAATCCCGGGAGCACATGAACGGTAGCCTCCCACTGATGACCAGGAGCTCCTGGTACACCGACGACCTGGACCTCCCCTACAGGATCTACACACCCGCCAACCTGACCGTCCCCAACAACTTCCTCAAGCACTACCACGAGAAGAGAGGCAGCGCCGACAGTCTGGTGGAGGCGGTGAGGACCCTCAGCCCCCAGTCGTGTGCCCCTCTGCGAGCCGTCCGTCTGTCCGTCCGTCCGTTATTTTTCCTTCGTTTGTCGACCCATTATCAATAACTTGCCGATCGATTATTAAACCTTACGCTCTCAGTAAGCCGTTAGTCGATTGGCGGATCGCCTTTCCCTGGGGTGGGGGGGGCAATAGTTCCCCTTCCCCCCAAAAAACGATCGATCCCTCAAATCCACGACTGTTCTGCGGGGACACTGGCCGCCAAATACCCAGTCACTCCGCTGCCCAGTCTGTTCCGCCAAGCGCTTTTGAGACGTCTCGACGACGTGATAAGGTGCTGCGTCCAACGCGAGGATTCTGATAGTCATCAGCGTCACAAACGGAATCGGATGGCTGCTTAAGAAGGAAAAAAAAATACGCTGGGCTACAGGGTAAGAGCCCGAGGGAGGGAGGGAGCGAGGGAGCGAGGGAGTGGGGACTAGTTGGGTGGTCCTTCCAAAGAACCAACACAGGCACGATGGGCAAAATGGCCTCCTCCTGTGCTGTAGGATTCCGTGACTCTCTCGGTGGTTGTTGTTGTCTGGTGAGCGCTGAACCCGTGGCTCCCTTTTAATTTTCCCTCCGCAGGTGCTGATATCAGAGGGGCTCGGACAGTACGCCAAAGACCCCAAGTTCGTCTCCGTCACCAAACACGAGCTGGCCGACGCCTGCGACATGACCATCGACGAGATGGAGAGCGCAGCCAGCAGCCTGCTGAACGGCACCGGGCGAGAGGACCCGCCCGCCCCGGGGGCCAAGAAGAGGCCCGACAGCGACCCTCAGGACCCGGGACCCGGCTACAGCGACGAGGAGCCCGACCCCAGATACGAGGAGGACTTGGCCGACGAGATGATCTGCATCACCGCTTTATAGCGCCCGTCGCGTGGCTCGTGGCTGCGCTTGTACGGAGAGGAAGAGAGAGAGAGAGAGGGGTGGTGGGGAAGGGTTGGTGGGGTGGGGGTCGAAAAAGAAATCTATAGTGTATAAATGGAAGGGGAAGATTCCTCCCCTCCACCACTCCATTCTCCCACCCCTCCCTCCTTCCCTCCCTCCGCACCTCGTTTACCACTCCCCACCCCTCCCCACCCACCCCCCATAGCGGAGGGGTTGTTGAGGGTTGGGCACAAGCCAACGAACGAGACGCGTTGCCGGGCCAATCGGCCATCCGGTAGTGGCTGGCGTTCGGCTTGACGTTGATGGGGAAATGAGTGCCGTTTGGGTGGTGGGTGGGTGGTGGTGTGGGGGGGCGTGGGGGGCAATGTGCAAGGAAGGGTGTGGGGTGGCTTGCACGCACGCCCTTATTCCCGACTGCGGACCACCGGCTAAAAGTCTGTGGCAAAGTCTTGCCGAAGGCTGGAAAGTGGGGAGGGAGGGTGTGAGGGAGGGGGGTATCGAATCCCCTTTTCTCCCAAGAACTCCCCCCCCCCCCCCCCCTCCCACCCCCCACGCAAGACCCTCACATTGTTTTGAAGGCAACAGGAAAGCCGCACAGAGGAGAGACACGTTGTTATGACCGGGTGGGGGGGGGGGGGGAGGCGTTTAAGGGGGAAAACCCCGAAAAACTACGTCAGCTTAATGAACACTCGCTGAAGTAGAGCGCCCCCCCCACCCCCAACCCCCCCACCCACACATACACACACACACACACAGGTGTCGGCATATCATTTATATATAGATATACAGGTATAAGAAATACAGTTGAAAATTCTGCAAATTCAACATATCTTTTTTTTAAAATAAACATCATTCTCCCCCCCCCCCCACCACCCCCCACCCCAAGTCCTCTCCCCCTCCCCGGTTCCTTGCGAAAAAGAATGATCCACCTTTTTTTTTTAGAAAACCAACAAAAAATTTCTCTCTCTCTCGCACGTTAATTGTTTTTGTTTGGGGACGGATGGGGGTGGGGGTGAGGGAGAGGGGTTTGGGTGGCAGTGGGGAAGGGTCCGGGGGGGGGGGGTGAAGGGGGGGGTGTTGGGGCCAGGCAGGTGGAGAGGTGGGGGGGAAACTGTCTTTCGCTTGTTTTTTTTTCTTAAAGAAAATACGAGTTTGTGTAAAGGATTTTTTTTGATTTAAAAATCGTTTATTGTTGATTTTATTGGATTATCATGAAATCGTGTGGTGAGAGAGGGAGAGAGGGAGGGAGAGGGAGGGAGAGGGAGAGAGAGAGAGAGGGTGGAAGGACGCCAAGAATAGAGGTGACTTTGATGCTCTCGAGACCGACTGACTGGGAGAAAGATTTGCCTAATGGACAAAAAAACAAGCAATGGAAAAATAAATGGGTTCGCGGCTAACTTTCATCCGGGTTCATCGGAAGCCTCTTCAAACCACCGCAAACCAACCGACGAGAGAGGGGGGGAAAAAAATAGTTTTATTTAAATACTGCAAAGTATAGACAATTGTACATGGCTGTAACATACGAATCATGATTTGTAAAGAGATGTTCTATATTTTGTAATTCTGTAAAACCAGATCAGCAGCAATATTAATGGTTTCCAACGAAAAAAGAAATTACGGTCAAATTTATTCAACATGTAAAGTGTTTTTAATAGGAATAACAACACGTCCATAGGGTTTTAAACGTGTTTATAGAACTGTCGGTTTTTTTTCTGTACATTAAGAGTTTTATTGCTCAAGACAAAGTTTGAACGGGGGTGGGGGGGGTGGGGTGGGGGAAGGGGGCAGGGAGTGGGGGGGCGGGAGGGGGAAAAGTTGGCAAAGGAATTTTTAAAGTTTAAAAAAAATATATATATATATTATATATAAGCCTCGAACTTTACACAGGATATGCAAAGATGATTTACTTGCACTCTTTAAAAAAAACCTCGGAATGATAAATATTTAGCGAACGGTTTTACTTGTCGATAACGTTTTCTGTATTTTCTAACGACTTACAGTAAACGAACTTTACACAGTGTGAGCCATTTACTGAGAGAGAGAGAGAAAAAAAAAATCAACGGCTGGTTTGCTCACTGTCAGCCTTACAGGACAACGAAGCGTGTGCAAGTGCTTCCCTTCCTCCCCACCCTCCCGCCCCTTTCCCCCCCATCTTCCCCTCCCCTCCTCCACCCTCTTTCCTCCCTCCCTCCCTCTCTCCGTCCGCTCCCTCCCCAGTGGAATTCCCTATTTGCCAAATGGCTCGCGGTGAATTGATTTAAGAACCCGCAACGATAATCCTCGCATCCCTCGACCCGGCATCCTCCACGACGGGAGGACGTCTCGGAGCTCTCCGTGGGGTTTACCGTAGTGACTGTGTATTTTGACGGGCCCTTTGAGAGCCAGCTTTAAGCCGCGAGGGGCCGAATGACCTTCTTCAGCGCTGTCGCTGCCTGCGGCTTCTATTCCCCAAACAGGTAAGAACATCAACCTTCTGACCCTCGGAAGTCCGAGAGCGCGAGCGACTGAGCCAGACTTGACGCTCGATTCGTGTTGAAAGTACTTTATTTGAACAGATAACAATCCAACTTTTTTTTTTCTGCGGTTTGTACAAATGCAACAGTAAATGTGAAACGACAGGAATATTGGGATGTCCTCCCGACGCGAAAGGCGCTGTGTAAATGCAAATTGTTGTTGTTGTTGTTGTTGTAGCAGGGGCAAGCCCCCTTGCTGCGTGCTCGCCTGGGTCCAATGTTGTAAAGAAGTACCATAAAATGGCCAAATTCTGTGCGGTCGGTGTGTGACACGCAGGGAGCTCTATTGACGCCACTTCCTGCGTGTGGCGCGATACACAGGAAGCACAGCTCGCGTTAGCGGCGACCTGGGAAGTTGGTAATTCCCCCCCCGTTAGGCCGGGATTTGGGGGTTTACGGGTAAGCGAAAGGTCGGGGATGACAATCGAGTGGCGCCAGACTGAGACCCCGTCCCTTTCCCTCTCCCCTCCTCTCTCCATCCCGGAATTGAGCACAATGAGGACCGACCGGAGAGAGGGAGGGAAGGAAGGTGGGGGGTGGGGGGGTGGGGAGGGGGGGGGGGTGGGGAGGGGGGGCAAAAGGGAAAGGGGGACGGGTTCGTTCGTGTTACGAAACATTCGTTTTTTCCCGTCTTATAGTAATAATAATCCTTCCATTTGACATAGCGCCTTATCACGTTTTCGAGACGTCTCAAAGCGAGAATTGACTGTGTATTTTGTGGGCGAAACGCGGACGCCAACTGCGCACAGCGGCGTCCCCCACAAACAGCCGTGGGTTGAGTGACCGAATTATCACTAGTATTTTCTTGGAGGAATTATTACCTCCGGAAAGCGATCCACCAATCGACTAACAACCGGGTCCCTACTCACCGCTGAGTAAACAGAGGCGTGTGTGGGGTAAGGAAACTTGCCCAACATCGCGCCCTGTCCTGCCTGGGAATCGAACCCAGGTCCTCTCGCTTGAGAGACGAGCGCTCTAACCACTGAGCTACAGGATTCCTGTTCAATAAACTAAGCATTGGCATCGGTTTGCCAAATATTCGCCGATCGGATTTTACATTTTTTTTTTTCTCTTTTTTTTTTTTTACGCGCACGAAACAAGATTAAAACATTGTCAACGGCAAAATAAATCATCCTCTTAAAATACGCCTTTAAAACCAGCCCGAAGGGAAGCACGACTCGTTTCAAAAGTTAAAAGAAAGCAATCAACTGTAACCGGTAACCGGTAACCGGCGACGAGACGCATTGTGAATTATCGAGCGTCTCGTCTTCATCTTCATCCGGAGACCTTTTTTTTTTTTTTGATCGTGACTTACGGCACCTCCCCCACCCCACCCCCTCCCTCACCCCCTGGCTCACCGCCACTGTCAAGCACTCCAGGACGCTACCCTACCCAACCCTACCCAACCCGCCTGAAGGACGCTGTGTAAAAGTCGTGTCGCTGTCATCTACAGCCTAAAAGAAAAGTGACGTTGAACCCATTTCAAAACCTTCCTCCCTTCCTGACTGCGGAATGATGATCGAGTGCAAAGCCGGGTCCAAATTTTTCCCCCTCCATCTCAGAACTCTGGCTGACACTTCTCTTCCCACCCCACCCCCCCCCCCTTCTTCCCCACCCTTCTACCCCCTTTCCCCTCCGCCCCCAACATGCTGGACGTCCTTACAACGAGACTCCTTCTTGTGCGGTGCGGGTCGGTGGCCTGTCTCCGGGTCTGGTTTTACCGCTGGGTGTCCAGGCTTTGGGGTTTGTAGACGGGGATCCCCTGGGCGCAGAGGGAGGGGAGCCCCTTGATGATGTCGGCGGCCTTTTCGGCGATCATTATGGTGGGGGCGTTGAGGTTGCCGCTGGGCAAGCTGGGCATGATGGAGGCGTCCACCACGCGCAGGTTCTCCAGCCCGAAAACCCGGGTCTCGGGGTCCACCACAGCCAAGGGGTCATTGGACTGCCCCATCTTGCACGTGCAGGAGGGGTGGTAGGCGCTGTCCGCTTTCTCCTTCACAAAGCGGTCGATCTCCTCGTCCGTCTGCACGCTCTTCCCAGGGGTCACCTCGGGACCTCGGAACTGGTCGAAGGCTTTCTGCAGGAAGATCTCCCTGGTGAGCTTGACGGACTCCCTCAACTCCCAAACGTCAATCTCTGCGGCCGCGAGACGATTTTTAAAAATGTATTATTAACGGTAGTAATAACATAATAACAATAATAATCCCCGTCTTTGATACGGCGCCTTATCACGTTGTCTCAAAGCGCTTCGCGCAACATACTGTAAAGTGGAGTGACTGTGTGTTTTGTGAGCGAAACGCGGCAGCCAACTGCGCACAGCGGAGTCTCGCAAACTGTCGTGGATTGAGTGACCACATTTTGGTGGGGTGGGGGGGGGGGAGGATTATTACGCCAATAGACTAACAACCGGGTTCCTACTTACCACTAAGTAAACGAGACTGTGTGTGGAGTAAGGAAACTTGCCTAAAGGTTCGCCCGGACGCCTGGGGAATCGAACCCGGGTCCTCTCGCTTGCGAACCGAGCGCGCTAACCACTACAAGTTTTGTTTAGTTTGCCAGACCCCGTGGGACCAGACTAGCGTGGAGGGGGGGTGGGCGGGGGGAATGGGGGAGAGGGGGGAGGAAAGGGAAAAACGAGGCAAAAAATTTAATCCAGCTGAGCTCAGTACAGCCACCGCATTGTCCTCAAAGTGCTTCACAGGTAATTGCCGGCACGTGTTAAGCGACTGTGTTTGTAGGTGAACGAGGCAGCCAGGGTGCACCCAGCAACGTTCACGGTCACTGTGGTTGGCAAACAAAGGCTTTGTCGGAGCCCATTTTAAGAAAAATCAATGACCCCGATAAGCTGAAAGCGCTGTGAGATGAGCGGCTGCAAGAACAAGGTACGATTGTTAACGGTTGTGATGATAGTTTCTCTGGACCAGGGGTGAGAAGATGATGTTTGTCAGTTCAGGGTATCAAGGGATAAGGGGCATAGGCGGGTAATTGGAGTCGCGGTACAGATCAGACGGGATCTAATAGAATGGCGGAACGGGAACATGTTCCTAAGAGCCAGTGGTGCGGCCTTGGGAAGATTAGACCCAAAGTTACTTGCGGCTGGATACAGATTGGAGCTGACCTGTGGCGAGGTAGTTTGGTTCGAGGATTGGATGGTCCTTGGGATCTGCACTCTTCAGCTTCATCCACCCCACACTGGTGGGTCTCATTGAGCCAACGTGGACCTGAGGGTGAGGAGGTTCAAGCATCACCGTTTAGTTCACAGTCAACTTTTGCCAATAAAACCAACAAACTCCCTTCACCGACACCAAAACCGTTCACCGACGTGATAGTAATAATAATATTGCATTTGACATAGCGCCTTATCAGGTCGTTGAGACGTCTCAAAGCGCTTCACAAGGTACACTGTAAAGTGGATTGACTGGCTGCGTATTTTTGCGGGCGGAAATGAAAAGACCTGCATTTCAACCAAGAGACCAAAAAAAATGTTTTCCTTCGGGTTGGAAACATACAATCGATCAACTGGGGACAAAGTACGTGACTGGAGAGAGAGAGAGAGAAAAAGAAATCGAGACTCGAATGATGTGACAAGTCACGCTGTTTCGACTGACTGCTTAGCCACAGATTGGAACGGGTGCTACATTCTCTCGTCAAGAGTCGAAATCTGCATCGTAACTTCCTCTTGCGCTGTTCACAGTGGCAAATGTGCCACACGTGGCTGGTCTGAACACCACAAGGGAACCTGGTGGAACCTGGAAACCTAAACCATATCTGACAGCTAGTGTCAAGAGGAAACACTAATTCCTCCACTTGTGGACTCATTGATGCTTTTCCTGCTTCAGAGAAGAGCCGCCTGGCCTCTGTTGTTGTGGGCCACCCCTCGGGCTGCTGAAACCCTCACCCACACATTCGTCGCATCAAGGCTCGACGATGGAAGCTCCCTCCTCATCGGCCTTCCCAACTCTTCCCTTCACAAGCTGCAGGTCATCCAAAACTGCAGCTCGTGTGCTCTCACGCACCAGGCTCCGTGACCCCATCACTCCCACCCTCGCCCGACCCCATCACTCCCACCCTCGCCCGACTCCACTGGCTCCCCATCCCTCAGAGGATTGGGTTCAAGATCCTCGTCCTCACTTTCAAGGCCATCCATGGCCTTGCCCCCTCCTACCTCTCTGACCTGCTGACTCCCTACCAACCTGCCCGCTCCCTCCGTTGAGCTCCGGCTGCTCCATGTCTCCCGCCCGACCCTCCCTTCCATTGGTGGCCGGGCTTTTAGCCTCTCTGGCCCACACTCTGGAACTCCATCCCACGGTCCCTTCGCCTCGTTTCCTCCCTCGCCTCCTTCAAGGCCGGTCTCAAGCCCCTCCTTTTCGATCGTGCCTTCAGTCGCCCTCCCCCCTCTCTGCCTTCCCTCACCCCTACCCCACCCCTCCCCCATGCTCGGGTCCTGACCCCCTGACTGTCCAGCTCCTTGGGAAGTCCTCCCGACGTGAAAGGCCCTCTGTAAATGTAATTTGGTTGTTGTTGTTGTAGCTGAGAAAACTAATGCAATGTAACAACTCTTGCATTGAACAGAGCACCTTTATATCGTCGAGACGTCTCAAAGGGAACGGCTGGGACTGTGTATTTTGTAGGTGAAACGAGGCAGTCTGTTTGTGCGCAGCCCACAGCGACGTCCCACAGGCCGCCGTGAAGCGAAGGACCGATTTACCCGGGGGATTGTCGGCCAGGACACCGGGAGAGAGAAATTCCCTTCTCTTAAGTCGATTGGCGGATCGCTTTCCGGGGATAATGATCCCTCAAAAAGAAAAAATTGGGGGTCACTCAATCCACCGTTGTTTGTGGGACATTGCTGTGTGCAACCGGCCGCAGTGTTTTGCCCACAAAAATCCACTTTACAGTATATTCTGTGAAGCACTTTAAGACGTCTCAACGATGCGACAAGGCACTACATCAAATGCAAGGCTTATTATTACAAGGAAGTCACCTGATAAGCTTCTGCATTTGGTGCCACCCTCCCATGGTCTATGACCTGCGAGGGTAAGAAGTGGAACTGGATATCAGGATGGGTTACTCCAGGGCGACTTCTGATGAATCCTCCGGTCTCCAAGTGAGCAGTCGCTCCCTCTCCTGAAAAGACCAAAGGCGGAAAAAAAATCAATCAATCAACCAACCAACCAATCAATCAATCAAGTCATTTCAACACAACGTCAGGAATGGCCCGGGAATTCCTTCCATGTTTGTTTCAAGACCTTCCTTTTCGACTGTGCCTTCGGTCATCTTCCCCCCTCCACTCCCTCCGCCCCTCTCTGATCCCAACCCGAAGCTGTCCAGCGCCTTGGGACGTCCTCCCGACGTGAAAGGCGTTGTGTAAATGCAGTTTGTTGTTGGTGGTGGTGGTGTTCCCGTCCCCTCTCCCCTCTGCTCACAGCCCAGTGCTGGGGAGTCAGCCTCAACTGTGAGCCTGAACCATTGGGACCAACTCGCCCCTGAGCAGTAGAGGCGAGAGACTGAGTGACTGGTTATTTAGCAGAGCATGCTGACGGCAATCTGTTAACGACCGGTTAAAGCTGTGACATTTCCCTCTGACTGTTTCCACCGCCCCCCCCCACCCCCACCCCACTCTCCCCATCCCTCCCCCACCAGGAGTCGTACCTGTGAATTTCAGAAACCACTCCAGACCGATCTTGACCATGTTGAGAGGTTGCTGGGACTGATATAAAGTGATGGGTTGGGTGCTGCCCTGTTGTACGTAGAGCTCTAAGTGATCCTGAAGGTTCTGACCCACCCCTAGAGAACAGAGAATAATTATAATAATCCTTGCATTTGAAATAGCGCCTCATCGCACCGTTGAGATGTTCTCAAAGCGCTTCGCAGGATATGCTATAAAGTGAATTGCCTGCGTATGTTGTGGGGTGAAACGCGGCAGCCAATTGCGCACAGCAGTGTCCCCGCAAACAGTCGTGGATTGAGTGGCCAAATTATTATTATTATTCATTCTTTTTTTTGAAGGGATTATTACCCCCGGAAAGCGATTTGCCAATCGATTAGCAACTGAGTTCCTACTTACTGCTGGGTAAACAGTAAGCTGCTAGGTAACCTCTGTAAGGAAACTGCCTGAGATTTCCCTCGGCCTGGGAATTGAACCCAGGTCCTCTCGCTTGCGAAGTGAGTGCCCTAACCACTGAGCTACGGGACTCCGAACACTCGTACGTAGCGCAAAATCACAGCCAGGTCCAACTGCGGTCTCACACCTTCTAAAAGGGCCAATTACCCCTCCCTCCCTTCCCCCGCCCACCCACCACCCAGCCCTGAATGCTGTCCTCAGATGGGATGAGCAAACTCAGCGTGGATCGATCCCAAGACCTTATGGCCCTGTGCTGGTGGTGTTGGGTTGAGGGTGGGGACTTTATCGACGAAGCAATCTCACAATGTCAGCCCGGCGCCCACGCGCACACGTGCTTTCCTGCCGCGGGGAGCGTGTGTTCCATTACCGGGGAGGTGGGAGACCACAGGTATCCCGTGCTGCTTGAGGTCGTCTGCGTTCCCGACCCCCGATAACATCAGAAGCTGTGGGCTGTTGATGGCTCCTCCGCTCAGGATCACCTCCTTGTGAGCGTAGACCTGGCGGCCAATAAGACCCCACACCCACCCCACCCAGTTCAGCTCCGTGTGTACAAAGTCCACTCACACCACCACCCAGAACTCAGTCCCATCTCAGGGCCCAATAAGGGTTGGGGGAGGGGAGGGGGAGAAGGGGGCACATATACACATGGACACACTGACCCCTTCCAGTGAGTTGTCATTCGCTGGATTGCGATCAGTAACCTCAGTCCTACCAAACTGTTCCTGAGACAATGACCAAGTTTGGATTGGGGTCGAGGTTGGGAGGATATTTTTCGTCCAGGATCAAGGGAGAAACTGAGCCCTGCCCACTCCACTATCGGCAGTCGGACCTTCAGCCTATCTGCCCCTCCCCACCCCCAACCCTCTGGACTCCATCCCTGAACCCCTCCACTTTTCCCGATTCTCAACTGGGAAGCTTTATCAGCCGGGAGGGACCTCGTGTCTCATCCGAAGGACATCTCAACAGCCCCAGGGCATTGCACTAGAACAACAGCCTGTCTGACACATGTGGGAACCCGTCAGCGTTGCTTAAGAGTCTCCAAACCAAGCTGAGATTTCCATGTACCCAACCCACACAAAGAAATCCCAGAGATAAGATTGTTGTAATGGAATGCGCTCTCTCTCTCTCACCCTGGAGGGACACATGCTGAAAGTCAGGTTGGTAAGAGCCAAGGCTTGGGGGGAGCCCAGAGGGTGCAATTGGGGCTTGGGGGGTGGTGGAGGAGGGTGTGGGGTAACTGCTGGAGTCTAACCAGCTAAAGTGCCACAGCCTGCGATTGAGGGTGTTGTCTGGCAAGCGTTGGGGGAAATGCGTCGTGTACCTACCTTTTTCTTCTCGCCACCCTGGGTGTACTCGATGCCCACGGCTTTGGTGCCCTCAAACAGGATGCGGGTCACGAACGCCTGCACCTCCGTTGACAGATTGGGGCGTGTCAACGCTGGGCGCAAGTACGCACTCGCTGCGCTCCATCTTTTACCTGAAAAATGCCGAGAGTTTTTTCATTAGTAACGCCGGGTGGGGGGGTGGTGCGCGGGGCTTGAGGGGAACGGAGGAAACCGTTTAAAAGTTCCCCTTCCCCCAGATAAAATTAGTCACGACACTTCACCCTAAAATCCTGCGATGCACTTTGAGACGTCCTCCCGACATGAAAGGCTTGACGCCCAAACGTGAGGAATTAGTGTTAAGAATTGTTCGACGGAGAAAGAACAAGGTCCACCTCGTTCGCATTCTACCGTCCTGGTAAGTCGCACGATGGAGATGTTTGATAGTATTATTAATAAAACATTTGTAGCGAATGGGCTCAAAAGCGCTTTTTACTGGCGGAGTATCGAGTTGTTGAGTATTGAGCGGATACTGTCAAGTCAGACCTTCAGCGCTGATTGATTTAGGCGCGGGGGGGGGGGGGGGGGGGGTTAGGTGGGAACACAGTGATAATGAGGATGTGGGTGGATATTTGGAATGGAGATACAGATCAGGCGTTATCCTGAAAATCTGACATTTGTCCGCGGTGCTGGTTGGAAACCAAACAAAGCACTCAATTTGCATATATTCAAAAGGGAACATTCAAATGCGATGGTTACACAAGTACACTGACGCAAGGGTTTTGTGCTTCAGCGTCTGTGGATGGGCTACCAGATGAGAATGAAACAAAAACAAGAAATTACATTTACGCAGCGTCGGGAAGAACCTCCCAAGGCCCTAGACAGTCAGGGATTTGGGCCCGAGCTGGGGGGTTGGGATCAGGAGGGGTGGACGGCGGGTGGGGCAGGGATAGGAGGGTGCGGTCGAAGAGGAAGGTCTTGAGACGGGCCTTGATGGAGGCAAGCGAGGGGATGAGGCGAAAGGAGCTGGGGAACCAGTGGAGTCGGGCGAGAGTGGGGGTTGATAGGGTCACAGAGCCTGGTGAGGGAAAGGACACGAGCTGCAAAGTTCTGGATGATCTGCAGTTTGTGGAGGGAAGAGTTGGGAAGGCTGACAAGCAGGGAGTTGGCGTAGTCGAGCCTGGATGTGATGAACGCGTGGACGAGGACTTCGACGGCCCGAGGGGAGAGGCAGGAGCGGAGTTCTGGTGGGGGGAGTGGCGGGGGTGATGTTGCAGAGATGGGTGGAGGCAGAGCGGGTCATAGGGTAGAAAGGACAGTTGCGGGTGACAGGAGACACCAAGGATCCGTACTGGCTCAGTGAGGCGCGTAACCATTTTTGGAGCCTATTTTCCACAGCCCAACACAACCCAACCCATCCCAGGCCCGGCCTAACCCAGCCCGAGTACCTCGGTGAATGGTCATGTCCATCCAACCGACCCCCTCCTGCTGGAAGCCATTCATGTCCTCGGTGAAGGGATACCCGGCTTGCTGTGCTGCGTCCAGGAAGGTCTGGTGAAGGATGTGCTGCGTCTTGGCTCGGGACACGTGCAGGGGTCCATCCCCCCCCCGGTAGGGGTTCGCCCCCAGCTCGTGGTTCTGAGCCTTCCTGAAGTAGGGTAGGCAGTGCTCGTAGTCCCAGCCGCTGGCGCCCTGGGCCGCCCAGCGGTTGTAGTCCTCGGCATGTCCCCGGATGTACACCATGGCGTTGAGGGACGAGGAGCCCCCCCACACCCTCCCCCGAGGCCAGTACAAGACCCGGTCTCCCATGTGCCGCTGGGGGGTGGTGTGGTAATACCAGTTGTACTTGTCGTCGCACAGGTTGTAGATCAGGGCGGCCGGCATGTGGATCTTCCACAGGAGGCGTTTGCTGCCCAGCACCGTGTCCTTGGGCCCGGCTTCCAACAACAGCACCGTGGCCCCCGTCCCCTCCGTCAGGCGGTTAGCCAGCACGCAGCCGGCCGAGCCCCCCCCCACGATCACGTAGTCGTACCCGGCGGGGGCCGCGGCGCTCAGGTCGCGACGCTGCCGGAGGGTCAAGGTGGCCCCCAGCACCCGCCCCGACAGCCCGGCTCCGACCGGGGAGGTCGGTCGGCACGCGGTCCTGGTCGCCAGGGCGCCCGCCGTTAAAAAAACGGCCCGGGAGGCGAGGAGCATGGCGCGGGACTCTGAGCTCGCGTTCCTCGGGGCGACGGCACGGAGAGAGCGGGAGGGGGGAGGGTGGGGGCTGGGGGGTGAAGGGGGAAACAGAGAAGGAGGGGATTGACAGTGTCCTCAGTCTTCACCGGCCAACGCTGCTGCTCCTCACCACCTGGAGACACGGGGACATTAATGGTCAGTGAACACGTAATACATTCGATAAATCCCTCCCCCCCAACATTCCTCTCTTTGAACACCGACCCCCAGTTCCCTTGGGATAGACGAATGAAGGAATGAATCAATCAATCAACCAACCAATCAATCAATTAATCAATGATTTGCTGGACTTTTCTAACCCCCTCCCCCCCACCCACTGCCTGTCTGGTTCTGCAGTTATCTCCCAACCAACGGCCGACCAGAGCAAATGAACCCACCCCCATTTACCCCCCGTCACAAAGGTGCCTCTATCTCCCCCTTTCTTCTTACCTTCCCGGCTCCAGCCTTGTGCGCACAGGAACACGGGACTAACGTCCACAGAATACACAGTCAAGTCACTTTACAGCACATCCCGTGAAGCGCTTTGAGACGTGATAATAACAGTAATAATCCTCGCATTTGATATAGCGCTTTTCACGTCTTCTCGACGTCCCAAAGCGCTTCACAGAATACACTGTAAAGTGAATTGACTGTATGTTTGTGGGCGAACGCGGCAGCCAATTGCGCACAGCAATGTCCCACAAACAGTCGTAGATTGAAAATGACCAATTTATTATTGTTTTTGGTTTTGGAGGAATTATTATTAGGCTCTGTGTGGAGTAAGGAAACTTGCCCAAGGTTTCGCCCTCTGCCTGGAACTGAACTCAGGTCTCTCGCTCGCAAAGCGAGTGCTCTAACCGCTGAGTTACAGGACTCCACGAGGCGCTCGATCGAACGCAAGGATTACTATTATTATGGGAACAGGAGGAGGCCATTCAGCCCCTCGAGCCTGTTCCGCCATTCCCTTAGATCACGGCTGATGAGTACCTCAACTCCGTTTGCCCCCCTTTGCCCCGTGTCCCTCGATACCCTGACCCAACAAACACCTACCGATCTCAGTCTCGAAAATTTCAATTGATCCAGCAACGACACGCAGCCTTTCGGGAGAGAGAAAGAGAGAGAGAAAGAGAGAGAGAAAGAGAGAGAAAAAGTTCCAGATTGCCACCAGCCTCTCGTGTGGACGGATAGGATGGGCTGGTGAGCGGAAAACACGGCGGTGGGGGGTGGGGGGAGGTCAGTCAGGGAAAGGTCTGCGAGCGAGCAGAGCGTGGAGGCGAGCGAGTTCAATGTTGGTGGCAGCTTGAGATTTTACGCTGATGAGGCAAAGATAACCGCACGTTGGCTATTCATTACCCAAACCCCCCCCGGCAGGTTTGTGCACCAGCTCCAGCCCAGCCCAGCGCTGTGTTTTCGGGGCTTCAGGCGTGTTACTCCGGCTCTCGATGGGCACCGCGCTAATTTGCCTCCAGCGCCCGTGATATTCCGCGGAGACGACGGCCGCGCTTTTTTGTCGAGGAGATCGAGCAATGATCAGCCGCTCGGTTTCTCTTTGGCTGATTGAAATGGAACGAGACGAAATGAAATGCGTGTGGGGGGTGGGGGGGATTGGGCGGGGGGGGGGGGAAGGCAGGGGTGTGGGGGGGGGGGCAACAAGCAGGTTGAGACTGACACCACTTATCCTAACAATAATACTATCAAATGCGAGGATTATTATTATTATTCATGATAATTGTTATTAATTAATACCCGGGACGGTCGGGAGTGGTTTTTGTGGGCGAACGAGGCAGCCGGTTTGATTGCATTTGCGCTGGAACATGATGATTACCGGAAAGAGGGGGTGTAGGGGTTGGAGGGGGGGGGGGATAGACTGAAGACGAGGGGTGGGGGTGAGTGGGGGGTCGGGGGGGAGAGAACAAGGAATGAGGGGCTTTGCATCCATCCAGTGCCCGATTCTAATTTTAATTTTATTTTGTCTCCTCGGGCTAAGGTGGACCGCGGAGGGCGGGCGGGCGGGCGGGCGGGGGGTGGGGGTGGGGGGGAGGAAGAAGGGGAGACGGAGCGCGAAGGGGGAAGGGAACCGCTTCTTCGGGGACCGAAACTCTGCGCTACGCAGAAACCCACTTCTGCTTTCAAAAGGTTTCGACAGAAGAAATTGCAGCTCAAAGTGCGCTCGGCTTAATGTTCAGCGCAAACCACTGTAATAACGTCTGGACTCTGTGCCCTCATTACCGCGAAAGCCCCACCAATTCCCCGCACCTGCCGCAAACTTTCCACCCCCCCCACCCCCCACCACCGACACCCACCCCTCTCCCCTCTCCCTCTCTCCCTCTCTCCCGTTGGCGGATCGCTTTTCCGGGGAGTAATATTCCCTTCCGAAATCATAATAATTTGGTCACTCGACCCATGACTGCTTGTGGGACGGACGCTGCCGCGGGCAATTTGCAGTCGAGGGTGTTTATTTAAACCTCCCCCCCGCCCCCGCCCCCACCCCCTCACCACGCCCCGAGCACCCCGCTAAGTAAACGGGGGGTCGGCGAGGGCGCGGCGGGGGTGGGGGAGAGGTGTGTGTGTGTGCGTGAGTGTGTGGGTGGGTGGGTGGGGTGGGGGGGGGGGGGCAGGTACGTGCACCAGGACGCCAACCCATCGCTGTACATAAACGCTGTTGTCGTCGTCGTCCGAATAGATCGCTCTCGAAAGAGCCGGCGAACGTCTACAACAACAACAACAACAAGATTCCATTTATTGAGCGCCTTTCACGTCGGGAGGACGTCCCGAGGCGCTGGGCAGTCGGGTCGGGACCCGAGCATTGGGGGGAGACGGTCAGGGCGAGGGGGAGGGAAGCGAGGGAGCGAGGGGGGGGGGGAGAGAGTCGAGAGGGGGAGCTGAAGGCACGGTCGGAGAGAACGGTCGTGAAAGGCTGGGAGAGGGCGAGAGGGCGCGAGGGCGCGAGGCGATGGGATTTTGGGGGGTGGGGGGCGCGAGATCTCCGGGCGGTGACGGTGGGGCAGTTTTTTGGGTGGGGGTGGGGGTGGCGTAGGTGTTGTTTTGGAGGTGGAGTGGGGTGGGGCGATGCATTCCGCGAGCAAATCATTCACAGAGTCCTCCGAAGCAATGAACGAACGACGTAAATCCTCGCAGCGAACCCAGAAAACGCGGCTCAAAGGCTCCGCCGAGTGAAACCCGGAGCTCTCTCTCTCTCTCTCTCTCTCTCTCTCTCTTTCTTTCTTTCTTTCTTTCTCGGGACGTCCTCCTGACGTGAAAGGCGCTTCATAAATGGAATCCTGTTGTTGTTGTTGTTGTTGTTGTTGTCGTTTCTTTCTTTTCTCTCTCTCTCTCTCTCTCGCTCGCTCGCCCCCCCCCCCCAAAAAAAAACACACGGGACGCAAAAGTCTACCGTTCACTTACTTAGACGACGATTGTTATTGAAAATAATAATTAATAACCGCCATATCACTAATTAATAATCGCCGTCGTCGTCACTAAACAGTAGACTTTGGTGCTCCGCGAGTTTTTTTTTTGTGTGTGGCCTTCATAACAATAATAATAACAATAATAATAACAATAATAATAACAATAATAATAACAATAATAATAACAATAATAATAACAATAATAATAACAATAATAATAACAATAATAATAATAATAATAATAATAACAATAATAATAACAATAATAATAACAATAATAATAACAATAATATTAATAACAAATTAATAACATTGGCAGATTTTCCGTGGGCGTGGGAGGGGAGGGGGAGGGGGAGGGGGGGGAGGAGCCCCCCCGGGGCAAAAAAAAACCCCACCCGCGCGCGCGTTACTTTTTTTTTAAAAACAAAAAGCGGTGTTCGCAAACACAAACGCACCCGCTTTCAGGTGCAATATTTATTAATAATAATAAAAATAAAAATAATAATAATAATAACAACAACAACAACAACAACAAATTAATAACATTAGCGGATCTTAAGCGCTTTGGGACGTCCTCCCGGCGTGAAAAGCGCTATACCTAAATGCAAAGGATTATTATTATTATTATTATTATTATTATTATTATTATTTTTGTCGGCGGGGGAGGGGGAGGGGGAGGGGGTGTCCCCTAAAAAAAAAACCACTCGCGCCTTTAGTTTTTTTTAAGCGCAACGTGAGGTTCTGCCCCATATCTGAAGCCCAACTTCCTGGTTGCGACTCCCTAATGAGAGAGTTACTTTCCCTTTCGCGGCGCTCCCCCCCCTCTCCCCCTCTCCCCCTCTCCCCACTCCCCCTCTCCCCACTCCCCCCCTCCCTCCGGCTGTTCATTTTAACACCTCTTTCTTCTCTCTCTTTCTCTCTCTCTCTCTCTCTCTCGTTTATCTCCACAATGCTTCGCGGCGGCGACGGCGGCGGTTTCACTCCTTTCTGAATCATCCGCTTTCTTTCTCTCTCTCTCTCTCTCTCTTTCATTGATGTCTCTCTCTCTCTCTCTCTCTTTCAGTCTCTCTCTCTCTCTCTCTCTTTTTCTCTTTCTCTTTTTGTTCGGGGCTACAATCGCACGCCCTTCCCCCTCTCCCCTCCCCCCTCCCCCACCCCCTCCCCCTTCCCCCCTCCCCCCCTCTCCGCTCTTTATTTTATTTTTTTGCTGACTCGCCGGTCTTACCTTTTTCTTGCGATCGGGCAAAGCGTGAAATCCAATCGCTCTCTCTCTCTCTCTCTCTCTCTCTCTCGCGCGCGCGTGTCTGCGCCGTGTCCGTGTCCGTGCGTGTGCGGGTCTGCGCGTTGCGTGTTGCGTGTGCGTGCGGCGGCGGCGGTGCGTGTGTGTGTGTGTGTGTGCAACGTTCAGTGTGTTCCTTTAATGGCCAAACTTGACCGCCTCTCTTCGGGAGACAGTGGGACTTGTGGGAGTTGGAGTCAAAGCCGAAGGCTCTGGTGGATTCCCCACTCAGTGACACTTCGCCCTCTTCTGCTCATAAACCCCCACCTCACCTCCAACCCCCACCCCCCCCCAACGCTCCGACTTTTCTTTTGCGGGGGGTGGACACACACACACACACACACACACACACACGGGTTTGCATCGACAACAACAACTTGCATTTACACCCCCACCCCACCCCCCACTTCGTGCGGTCAGGGGTCGACTCTCCGCGTTACGTGTTAATTCCGCACCTCCGCGACGACCCGCGCGTCTCCCCTCACCTGTCCCAGTTTCCCGGAGGGAGGGGTACACGAGCGCGAGAATGTTTTCGTGCATTGCATTGCATTGCGGGGGGTGGGGGGGGGGGGGGCGTTGATGTGCCTTATCCAATTAACCGGGCGTCTCGCTGCGCGCGGTCTTTGCCCCCCCCCCCCCCCCCCCGGGGTGGATTGCGTGCAGAGTAAATACCGCCATAAGCCAAGGAAATCAACCGTGTATAACGTTTAGGCATTTCAGTAATGTAGTGGGGGGGGGGGGGGGGTGGGGGGTGGCCCCTGAAGGAGGGGGAGACAACAGCTCAGGTGCCTCAGGTTTGGTATCACTATTTCATGTGAGACATGAAGCATCGCTGAGTCAACCTGACTCAGCCGCTCGTGCGCTCGCCTCTGAGTCAGAAGGTTGTGGGTTGAAGCCCCCCCAACCCCCCCCCCCCCCCAAGTCGAGCTCACTGTCTTGGCTAACGCTCCAATGCATTGTGTGTGTGTGTGTGTGTGGGAGGGGGAGTGAGTGGGGGACGTTAAAGCTCGCTCCCTGTCTGCGTCTGTTCAGGTGGGCGATAATAACGATAATCCCCGCGTTTGGTGCGGCGCCTGATCACGTCTTCGTGGACGTCTCACAGCGCTTCGCGGGATACACCGCAAAGCGAATCGACCGTTGTATTCCGTGGGCGAAGCGCGGCAGCCGACTGCGCGCGGCAGCGTCCCCGCAAACCGCCGTGGGTTGAAGTGACCAAATTTCAATCCACGACTGTTTGTGGGACATTGCTGTGCGCAATCGGCCGCCGCGTTCGCCCACAAATATACAGTCAATTCACTTTACAGTGTGTTCTGTGAAGCGCTTTGGGACGTCCTCCCGACGTGAAAAGCGCTATATCAAATGCAAGGATTATTATTATTATTATTACTATCATTGTTTTTTTCTTGAGGGATTATTGTCTGGCCGGCGTGTGGAGCGAGGAAACTTGCCCAAGGTTTCTCGCTGTCGGGAATCAAACCCAGGTCTTCTCGTTGCAGTCACTGAGCTACAGGATTCCTGTTACTCAGTTTGCCTAATGGGAGGTACTTGGAATAACCATTGCTCATTCATATGCCTACACACACCCACACCCACGCGCGTGATGCCGCTCAAGATAGAGCAATAGCGTTACATTTGCTGAACACTGCTCGACTGAAGAGCACACACAGCGCACACCTCCTCACTCACTCACTCACTCACTCACTCACTCACTCCTACAGCCATGGAGCCTCGAGCCGTTGCTCTCTTCTCCCTGGCGTTGGTCGGATTTCTGGAGCAACGTTTGTGTTTGGGAAACGAGCGGGTAGGGGAACGAAACAGTGCAACGTATTGAGTGTGTGTGTGTGTGCGTGTGTGTGTTTGACACGATCACAACGAGATTGATTGCTGGAGCTTCACTTCGAGCGCTGTGTATGGTAGCTCCTAAAACTTAGATGTGGAGTCCTGCAGCTCAGCGGTTAGAGCACTCGCTTTGCGAGTGAAAGACCTGAGTTCAATTCCAGGCAAAACCTTGGGCAAGTTTCCTTACTCCACACAGAGCCTAATAATAATTCCTCCAAATCCAAAAACAATAATAAATTGGTCATTTTCAATCCACGACTGTTTGTGGGACATTGCTGTGCGCAATTGGCTGCCGCGTTCGCCCACAAATATACAGTCGATTCACTTTACAGTGTGTTCTGTGAAGCGCTTTGGGACGTCCTCCCGACGTGAAAAGCGCTATATCAAATGCAAGGATTATTATTATTATTATTATGTTTCCCTCGCGCTCTTCCTCCCCTGGATCTCCTGTAACTTGTTGGTTAGAGAACGCCACTCGCAAGCGAGAGGAACTGTGGCAGGGTAAAATGTTGGCCAAGTTTCCTTACTCCGCGCTGTTTACCTCGCAGTAAGTAAGAACCTAGTTGTTAGGTTGTTAGTCGATTGGCTGATCACTTTTCCGGGGGGCAATAATTCCTTAAAAAAAAAATGTGGTCACTCGATCCACGATTATTTGTGGGGACGCCGCAGTGCGCAATTGGCTGCCTCGTTTCGTCCACAAAATATATAGTCAATTCACTTTACAGCGTATCGTGTGAAGCACTTTGAGACGTCTGGATGACGTGATAAGGCGCTGTATCAAATGCAAGGATTATTATTATTATTATTATTATTATTATTATTATTATTATTATTATTATTATTATTATTATTATCTCCTCTAACCCCATTCCACTTGTATTTCTCACAAGTGTACGTTTCACCCACAAATATACAGTCAATTCACTTTACAGTATATTCTGTGAAGCGCTTTGAGACTCTCAAAGACTTGAAAAGCGCTGTATTAAATGCAAGGATTATTATTATTATTATTATTATTATTATTATAGTACTTCTGTATAAAATGTCTCCCCTTAAAGTCTTTGCGAGTGAGAGACCTGAGTTCAATTCCAGGCAGAGGGCCAAACCTTGGGCAAGTTTCCTTACTCCACACAGAGCCTAATAATAATCCCTCCAAAAAAAACAAAAGAATAATAAATTGGTCATTTTCAATCCACGACTGTTTGTGGGACATTGCTGTGCGCAATTGGCCGCCGCGTTCGCCCACAAATATACAGTCAATTCACTTTACAGTGTGTCCTGTGAAGCGCTTTGGGACGTCCTCCCGACGTGAAAAGCGCTATATCAAATGCAAGGATTATTATTATTATTATTATTCCTTAATCCCGTCCCACTTTGCCTTGTGATTTTGGTGACCTTTAAGGTAGATCCCACTTTTAAATCCCGCCTAAAGACCGTCCTTTTTGATCGTGCTTACGGACACCACCTCCCCTCCCTCTTCCTCCCCCCCCCCACCAGCTCAGGGTCAGACTCCGCCACCGCGAAGCACTCGGGGACGCCAGCCCGGGTGAAGGACGCTGTAGAAACTCGAGCTCTTTTGAGACGTCTCCAAGGGAACACACAACCAGTTTGCAGCTATGACAGTCTGTTCAGAACAAAGCACTGAGGTTGGAAGCTTCCCAATCGGCGTTAATGTAAGCAGCAGTTGGTAGTGCCTGTCATCGTGGAAAAACTCATCCGTCAAGTTACACCCAGTTATAAGGACTCGCGTTCATTGAGTGAGGATTGAACCCAGCGTTCGCTACGAGGGGGAGCGAGCCTTATCATGGGTGTACATCTCGGAGCGTAACAAGTGTCTTACTTGAAAGATTGAAAATGCAAGGATTATTATTTCCCTGTTATGTCTGATTATTTCAACACCAGCTCGTGTTGATTTTTTGCCTTTCAGGTGGGGTAGGTTCTCAGAACTCTGGCTTTCTGCCCCACAAAACCCTTTGTGAAGAGAATGTCTCCCTCTTTGACCTTAACCTAATTTTCCCCTCTGTTCCCCTACCACCTCCATGAAGCTCCGTGAGACAGACTTCCATCCCACACAAAAGGCACTGCTTAAGTGCAAATTGTTTTGATACACTGCCCTCAGCATTGCTGCTGTTGTTGTATTATTTCCGTCCAGATCAAATCAATCAGATCGACGAACAAACGAACACTCACGAATATCCTTAACCTTGAGGCACAAAAACTCCCACTTGCCATTTTCCGGTTGAGTATTTATTAGGAGTTAAGTGCTGTGGGACTTTACCCTGCGCTGTATAAATGTTCTTGTTGTTGTTGAATTAACTGTGAATAAAAAACCCAGTCGGACTTGCTGTTTGACCCACACTCTCGCCTTCGGCGTCAGATCAAATAACCTTTCCGCTTTCTGTTTTCTCGCAGCAGGAAATCAAGTGCAAAGCACAGTCCGGTAAGTACTTGATTGTCGATGTATTTTCTTTTTTCGTCTGTCTGTCTACAAATTACGCTGTCGCTACATTTTACAGCGTATGAGACATTGAACCGATGTCCCTGCGATGCCTGGTTCAGGCGGACGTCGATAATAATCCTTGCATTTGATACGGCCCCTAATCGCATCCTCAGCACGACTCAAAGCGCTTCGCAGGGTATACGGCAAAGGGAATTGACCGCATATCTTGTGGGCCAAACGAGGCAGCCAATTTGCATCTAACCTCTTTGTCTTTCCCTTTCCGTTTCACTTTGGAGTTTCTCTGAAATTCGTTGACGAGCGGATTTGAGGAATGCCGGAGTCCTTTGATCATGCTCGTCTCCCGGCTTAGGTTTTCATTGCTCCCATTTGGTTGATGAATGCGATTCGAGGTTCCCTGTCCACCCGAATGAATAAACATCTGCTATGATTTATTCCGGCGGGTCAGGGCAGGTGTAAGGAAAACCTGGCAGAGTTCTCTCGCAAGGATTTTGAGTGCTCTCGACGCAGAGCTTCGAAATCGACCCAACCTTTTATCCGGAGGACACACACGGCATTTATTCAGATCAACGCGTGTTTGCTTTGTGATTGATGTTCTTATTGAGTGTTAGTCTGGATTGTGCTCACACCTCCAAGTCAACGCTCGCCACACACACTGCAGTGTTGGGGGGGGGGGGGGGGGGGGGCGGAAGGGGGTTTTGGGGGTGGAGGGAGGGAAACTTGCTGCTTTGATGGAGGTGCTATCCTACAGGTGACATGTGAAACTTCCCCCCCCGCATCGCTGGCCTGCTCAGATGGATGTTAAAGATTCATCTGAAGATTAAAGGTTTGGGAGTTTCCCCCAAATAAAATGAGTCTCTTGCTGTTCCTGAGCCGTGTTTACCCACGAAAATAGTCTGTGAAGCGCTTCGAGACGTCTCGATGATGTGGTATGGCGCTGCATTAAATGCCAGGATCATTATTAATATTATTATTATTTAGGGAAACGCTTTTGAACTTTTTTGCTTTCTTTCTTTCTCTCTCAGCGAGTGAACCTCCCTCGGAATGGGAACGGCCACACAGCAGAACCCCATCTGACCTCTCCAGCCTCAAGGTTGAGCTCATCTCTGCCGGAGACCATCAGCATCCCCTGTTAAACATCAGCTGGAACCTAAGTCCCGACGGTAGGTTGTCCATTCAGAATAGACAGTCGCGTTGCTTTCTCTCTACGTAAATAGATTATAAATAGGTGTGGAGCACTGTAGCTCAGTGGTTAGAGCACTCACCTCACAAGCGAGAGGACCTGGGTTCGATTCCCAGGCAGGTCAGGGCAAAACCTTAGGCAAATTTCCTTACTCCACACACACACACACGTACGCCTCTGTTTACCCAGCAGTAAGTAGGAACCTGGATGTTAGTCGATTGATGGATCGCTCTTCCGGGGGTAATAATCCCTTCAAAAAACACTGCCGTGTTGCTGGGACGCTGCTGTACGCAATTGGCTGCCACGTTTCGCCCACAAAATGCACAGTCAATTGGCACTTACAGTGTATTGTGTGAAGCGCTTTGAGACATTTGACTCTTCCTTCCTCCGGACAGGAAGCATCCAGGAGCTGATCGCCACAATGATTTGCATACAGAGCCCATGGGAATATGTCTGTTTTCGGTGCAACTACAGCAAGCGGTTCAAGAGCGAAGTAGTCCAGGGGAAACCAGTGAGTTACAGACATATTTCCCCGTGCAACCGTTTGCACGGACCCTTGCATAGCCGGGGCAAGCTCGCGACACGGGGGATGTAACAGAGAATTTGACGCAGAGAGGGTAGGGAGGTCGTGGAACTCCCTGTCTGAAGCAATGAGTGAATCAGACAGGGGAGGTGCATTCGAGAGGAAGTCAGACTTCCACGGACTTCCACGAGGTGATGGGTGAGGGGGGGAAAGTTGTCGGAGATGGCAGTGGGTGCGGGTGTGGGGTGGGGGAGTTGGGGTGGGAGGGAGATGGCGGGTGAAGGGGGGAAGGAGTCAGGGAGCAAGCTGGACGGAGGGAGATGAGGGGAGCGTGAGGTTAGTTTATAAATGGGACCACACGGGATGTGTTGCGAGCGCGACGAGTACTCTCGCTAAGCGACGACGTCTTGCCCTAAAATATTGTCTTCGTTCCCTCCCCCCCCCAAGTGGTTATTCTATTACGCTGAACATCCAGCCAGCCCGGAGACCTCGTACCTCTTCACAGCTTTCAACATCCCACCCCCCAATATCGGGGAGGATTTGCCAGAACAAGCCTTGCAACTGAAAACACCAGGTAATGGTGGTGGGGGGCGGTGGGTGGTTGGGTGGGGTGGTGGGGGGGGGTGGGGGGCGGTGGGTGGTTGGATTTCCTGTTCCTAGAGGGCACAACAACAACAGCTTGCATTCATATAGCGCCCTTCACGCAGGGAAGAGTCTCCAGAGCGCTTGATTTTTTAATGCGGGGGTAGATTTAGCCTCTAACACAGATATTGATCTTGATCTCTCGTTGGCTGATTGAACCCGGGACATGTTAAAAATCCCAGTTGGACCTAGACACGTTGCTCTTAACTGTGTGGATTGGAAATTTACAGGACAGAAGAAGGCCATTCGGCTCCTTAAAGAGCGATCCTTTCAGTCCCGTTTACCTTGTGCTTTCCCCCTGGTCCCAGACACATTAGGTCACGATTTTATAAAAGATTAGAGACTGAACGAGAACTTCACGCCGGCTTTCCTTTCCTTTTTTGTTCAGGTTGCGAGAACAATTTGATGAAGAATTTAAAATATTGCCAAGGTAAGCAGATTAATAATAATAATAATAATAATAATAATAATAATAATAATAATAATCCTTGCATCTCCTCCCTCACCCTTTGGAACTTCATCCCACAGTTCCTTCGCCTCGCTCCATCCCTTCAAGGCACATCACAAGACCTTCCTCTTCGACCGTGCCTTCGGTCAACCTCCTGCCCCCTCTCCTCCCTGACTTCCACCCTCCCTTACCCAAGTCCCTTTCCGCCCCACACCCCACCCCCGAATATAACCATTAATTTATTGACTTTTTTGCCCCAAAGATGATGTGGATGTTTTGTGGAAGCCAAACATTTCGTTGTGCTTGATTAACAATAATGTGATGGAGATCAACTTTACGACTCATGAACAATCGTCCAGGTATGCTGTGTATCTGGTCAATAATGCATCCAAGCAAGATATAGACACCACTACTATTCCTTGGGTAAGTAAGTTGTATGTCAAATGCAACTATTATTGTGACACAATAACATTTACTCAAAGACTACAGCAAAGCGGAGCTCGGTCAGTAATTAGAATCGTGCACCACACTTAACAATCCTAATTCTTACATTCGGTGACTCAATCCACGACTGTCTGTGGGACGCTGCTGTGCGCAATTGGCTGCTGCCACAAAACACACAGTCACTCCACATTACAGTATCTCCTGTGAAGCGCTTTGAGACGTCTCGAAGACGTGATAAGGCCCTCGCTGTATCAAATGCAAGGGTTATTATTATTATTCCAGCGCCTCGGGACGTCCTCCCGACCTGAAAGGCGCGATACAAATGTAATCTTGTTGTTCTTGTTATTATTACTGTTTGATGCGGCGCCTTTCACGTCAGGAAGACGTCTCAAAGTGCTTCACAAGAGGCACTGAAAAGTGAAGTGACCGTGTGCTCGAGCCATTCAAGAAAGATAAAATTTGGTCAATCACTCCATGGTTTTGTCGGACGTTGCTGTGCGCACATTGGCAGGTGGTGGGTTCACCCACATAAATACACAGTCGCTGTGTTGAACAGTATATCTGGGGGTTAAGGGCATAGTGGCTGGAGGGGGTGGGGGGTGCTTAGAAGTCCAGTGCGTTAGTTGACGTGCGTAATGCGCTCCGAGACGCTACTCACGTGAAGCGCGCAATGTAAATGCAAATTGTTGTTTGTTTGTTTGTTGGTTTGTTTGTGGTTCAAGCCCAAATACCTACTGCGCTTCTTGTCCACTTAGTCCAACAATTCAAGAGTCACTGTGAGGTTTGAGGGAAGCTACCCAGAGACACTTTACGTCGAGGTAAGTTGATTTCCCCTCGTTCTCCTACCGTTGGCTGCGTTTGAATTTTCTTTTCGCCTCCCTTCAATGTCCAACTTGTCAGACAGTGCCCTCAACGCCCAAGCTTTGTGCGGTTTTAGCTGGTTAGCCTCCAGCAGTTACCCCCAACGCACACTCCGGGCTCCCCCCCCCCCACCCCAGCCTCCCCCAAAAGGCTTGGCTCTCGCCAACCTGCGCCTCATACTGTCCGGAATTAGGATTAAGCAAGAGAGAGAGAGAGAGATCTTTCGAAAATAATAATAGTAATTTGGTCACTCAATCCACGACTGTGTGTGGGGACGCTGGCTGGGCGCAATCGGCTGCCGCGTTTCGCCCGCAAAATGCACAGTCACTTCACTTTCCAGTATATCCTGCGAAGCGCTTTGAGACGTCTCGAAGACGTGATGAGGCGCTGCATCAAATGCGAGGATTATCATTATCATTATTATTATTATTACTATCTCTGGAATTTCCACGTGCAGGTGGGACGCACGGAACTCTCAGTTTGGTTTGGAGGAGACTCTTCAGCAACGGGTGACGGGTTTCCGCGTGTGTCAGACACCCACCCGACTGACCCCTTCTCCCCCCCCCCCACCCTCCCCGCCCCGCCCCCCAAAATATATGTTCAACTGCAGCCCAAAAAAAGACCTCCCCAATCTGAATAATCCGTCTTGCTTTCAGATCGATCCGCGCTTCCCGTCGTGCCTCAACGACTGCACTCAACACCGCAAATTTCTCAACTGCTTCATCAGTAAGTTTATTTTGTTGGGGGGTGGCGGGGAAATTCCCTGAAACGACAGCCGTCGTCTCGAGCCCCTGAATTCTCCCCGGCTTTAGCCGGCGAGGCTGTTTTGTCCACGAAACGCGCAATCCATCCGCTTTTCAGGTTGTATCCTTTGCATTTGATACAGCGCCTCATCATGTCGTGGAGAATATACCCCTATTGTCGCTTCACAGAATATACTGTAAAGTGTGGTGACTGTATATTTTGTGGACTGCAGTAGTATTGTTAGTAGTAAATGCCATGTCCTCTATGTCTTTATCGTCACCGTCTTATAACCGCACTGCAATCCCAGCCGACACTCCGCTGTTTGTCTGTCTGTTGCCATCGACTGCCGTTCACACAACCAGAGAAATATACAGCGCAGAAGAGGGCCATTAGGTTTTGTGCACAGTCTCCTTTCAGTTCCATTTATCTACCTTTCCCTGCTCTCCCTCCCTCTCTCTCGCTCTCCCACCCCCCCCCCCGACTCTCCCTCTCTCTCTCTCTCGCTACCCCCCCCTCCCCCACTCTCCCTCCCTCTCTCTCTCTTTCCGCCTTCACCTCCCTCTTCCAATTTTCCAAGTATAACCTGTCCCACTGCCAAAAACAACATTCGCAAAGTCAACAATAGTTTGGGAGTGAAAGCAACAGCCGCAAAACCTGAAACACAAAGGCATCGGAACATATGAACAGGAAGAGGCCATTCAGCCCCTCAAACCTGTGAAAAGCGCTATATCAAATGCAAGGATTATTATTATTATTATTATTACCGTCATACTATAAGATCGCAGCTGATCTGTACTTCAACTCCAATTAGCCGCCCTTTCCCCGAATGCCTATACACCCTGACGTAACGTTTCGCCCACAAATATACAGTCAATTCACTTCGCAGTATATTCGAGACGTCGAGAAGACGTGAAATGCGCTATATCAAATGCGAGGATTATTATTATTATTATTATTAACAAAAATCTATCCATCTCAGTCTTGCAAATGTCTTGAAAGCACTAAATACAACCTGTTTTCCTTGCAGCAAGAGCCAGTCAAGAATTTGTTCCGTTTCCATTGATCTCTGGTAAGAAAGCCCTTTGGGCCCATTAGATCTCATCATTCCTAACATCCTTCCTGACTATCCTGGTAACCCACTGATTACCCTTTGGATAAAAAAAAACTTCCAGGTGTCAGTTCTGAATCTTCCTTTCAACTCTGAACCTGTGCCGTCTTTTTTCCGCTGCTTGAGGCATCTGAAAGTATTGTTCTTCTGTGTTTAATAATAATGAATAAAATAATAATCCTTGCATTTGATATAACGCCTACACACGTCTTCGAGACGTCTCAAAGGGCTTCACAGATGTACTGTGTAGTGAATTGCCTGTGCATTTTGTTAGCGAAACGAGGCAGCTAGAAAATAATATCTGGGGCGGGACATGTCAAACGACTGCAGCCCAGGATGGTGACAGGTGAATTAGATAGACCTTGGTCTTCTTTCGCCAGCAAATTCTAATGTTCTTACGTTCCTTTGCTTGATGTTCTCCTCTGCAATGCCAACTCTGTCAAACCTGTCAGAGCAGTTCAATTTAACTAGCGTCGCTTTAACGAGAGCAAGACTTATCACGAAACTGAATCAACGAATGGAAAGGAGCTCATTGATTGAAAGTTCTGATTAGCTATTAAGTAGGTCAGAAATGGCCTGTGCATTATCTAATATTTCCTGCGAGACACAGTTACTGCAACAGAGTGGTTGGTTGGCTTGGCTTCTTCAAAGAATCCGGCAGCTGCTTTGAATATCTCTCAGACAAGCACCTGGGTAAAAGCACAGAGGCACTGCGTGGAAAATTGATACTCAAGTAATATGATATTATCGCAAATAAATCCTTCCATTTCGCACAGCGACTTATCAGGTCGTCGAGATGTCTGGATGAGACATGAAACCAAGGCCATGTCTGCCTTCAAAGCGCCTGACCTACTGCCAACAACGTGAAGTGCTTCGAGACGTCTTGACGACGCAATAAGGCACGTCACAGTCGCAGTGACCCCGTCCCGTATTGGCGGCAGCCCAATTTGCGCCCGGCAAAATTGTCCCACAAACAACTGACCAGTTTTATTTGGGGATCTGTCGGCCAAGGCGGTAGGAACTCCTTTTTCTTCTCGAGTAGCGCAGCGGGATCTTTCACTTGCCTCCGAACGGACGCAGATAAAGGATCTGGGTTTAGTTTGACGTCTCATCTGAAAGATAACACCCTCGACAATGCAGCACACACACACACACACACACACACACACACCCCCCGCAGAGCTGCCTCGGAGAGCCGACCGAGACTGTGAGCTCAGGGGCTGGAACCTGTGATCTGCTTTCTGGCCCACTGGGGAGAATGCTGACGGCTGGGCCGGGGTGGAAGTGGGAACGAAGGCTCTCAGGAAGAATTGAGACGTTTTCCTAATCCGGTCATGTGTTTTTGAATGGAGTCCTGTAGCTCAGTGGTTAGAGCACTCGCTTTGCAAGTGAGAGACCTGAGTTCAATTCCAGGCAGAGGGCGAAACCTCGGGAAAGTTTCCTTACTCCACACAGAGCCTAATAATAATCCCTCCAAAACAAAAACAATAATAAATTGGTCATTTTCAATCCACGACTGTTTGTGGGACATTGCTGTGCGCAATTGGCTGCCGCGTTCGCCCACAAATATACAGTCAATTCACTTTACAGTGTGTTCTGTGAAGCGCTTTGGGACGTCCTCCCGACGTGAAAAGCGCTATATCAAAAGCGAGGATTATTATTATTATTATTATTAATGCTCTCAGACGACAGGTTTGATCGTTCTTTACTCAGCATCCGGCAACCTGCCATCCTTCAGATGCGGCATTAAACCGGGGTGCCGTCTGCCTGATCAGGGTTAAGATCCCACGGCGCTATTCGAACAGATAAAAGAAGTTTCTCTCTCTCTCTCTCCACCCCCCCACCCACCCACCCCCCCAGTGTCCTGGTCAAAAATCCCCCAAGGATTTCTGCAGCTCAGTGGTTAGAGCACTCGCCCCACGAGCACGAGAGACCCGGGTTCGATTGCCGGACAGGGGCGAAACCTTGCGCACGTTTCCTTACTCCACACACACGCCTGATGATAATCCCTCAACAGCAAACAATAATAAAATTGGGTCACTTCGATCCACGACTGTGCGCGGGGGGACTCGGCCGCGCGCGATCGGCTGCCGCGTTCCGCCCACGAATATACAGTCAAACCACTTCACAGTGAAGCGCTTTCGAGACGAAATTGAAGACGTGAAAAAGGGCTCTATCAAATGCAGGGATTATTAAATAAAACTGGTGTCATTTTATTGAGGCCAAGTCGGCCTACAAATATAGTCACCCCATCTCGCAGTATATCCCGCGAAGCGCTTTGAGACGCCTTGACGATGTGCTGAGGCGGTGTACCAAATGCAAGGATTATTATAATTCAGATGAGCCTCCTCTGTTTTGGCCCGGGGACTCTTAAGCGCTTCCTGGACGGTACCCTGTGCGTGAAGGGCACCATGGTAAATGCAAGTTGTTGTCATTTGTGCCCCTAAATACATTTGGTCAGGTGGAACGACCGAGCAGGTTGCAAATAGCGGATAATATTATGAAAATAATTATCCAAGCACAATAATAATAACAATTACAATGACATAACACGATTGAGAACTATTGTTAGAATTATTATTATGATGTATCGTGTTGTTGCTGGTCTCAGAGTTTGTGCGCGTGTGTGCGTGCGTGCGTGTGTGCGTGTGTGAATGCGTGTGTCTATGTGCATGCGTGTGTGTGTGCACACGTGTGCGAGTGCGTGCTGTGTGTCCGACAGACCCCCGTTTGCAGCGCGGCCAGAGAAATGGGCATTTATCCATTAACGGGATCTTCTCCTCTTTCCTTTGTTCAGAGACGAGGCAACTGACTTGGATGTTTGTGGCCCTGTCGTTGGTGGTTCTGGGTTTGATGTTGGGTGCCCCACTGTTCATTAAACGTGGTAAGCGAAAGGCGACGTACCTTCCGTAGGGCGCGGAGGGATTTACAGAGCGATTTGGAGCCACTTTATTGGGGCAGAAAAGTCCCACCCGTGGCTGGCGCTCACAGGTGTAGTGACTGTTTTTGTGTGTGTGTGCGTGGGTCCGTGAGAGTGCGTGTAGGCAAGTGATCCAGCCATGTTCCCTGGCCAACAAAGTGGAGGGACTCCAGGCTGTAGCTTGTTCAAGGGGGGGGGGGGGGGGGGGGCAGAATGGTTGTGTGTGTGCAGAAGTCTACCTTAAGTGCTGTTAGGTCACACCTCTCAGGAAGGGGGTGAGGAGGAGAAGGAGGAGGAGAAGTATGGAAATCCTGGAGCTTAGTGAGAGGACCTGAGGTTTGATTCCTGGGCAGAGTGAATACACGGAATACACAGTCACTGCACTTGACGGTAACCTCTGTGAAGCCCTTTGAGACGTCTCGAAGACGCGATGAGGCGCCGTATCAAATGCAAAGACGATGATGATTATTGTTGTCATTATTAGTATTTTTTATTATCATTATATTGTAATATTATTAATAATAATATAACAAATTATTATTGTATTATTATTATATTATATGATTATTATATTACTATTATATTATTATTAATATAATAAATTATTAAAGTACAATTACGACCTCCTCCCTCCCCCCCCTCCCCACCCACTAAACAATTTTCCGTTCAAAGCCAACGCCAGGATGTGGGCATTGCCTCTGGTTGCCGAGTGGATGCCCCCCGTGTCGGTGCTGCTGATCTACTCCCTGGACGATGATCCGCGGCAGAAGCCGGTGGTGCTGAGCTTCGCCGAGTTCCTGCAGAGCGTGTGCGGAGCCGAGGTGATGGTGGACATGTGGCAGACGCGGAAGGTGGCGCAGATGGGGCCCCTGGCCTGGCTGGCGTCCTGCAAGGAGACTGCGGACAAGGTGGTAGTCCTGTGCTCGGGGGGCACCGGGGCCCGGTGGAAGGCCTCTTGCCGCGAGCCAGACTCCGTCCTGACTCCCCCCGGCCCGGGGGCGGGAGCGGAGCGAGAGGAACTGTTCACCGCCGCCGTCAACTTGCTGTGCCACGAGCTGCAAGACCCCCGCGCAGCCCGCAAGGTCGTGGTGGTCTACCTGGCCGACTTGGGCTCAGCAGAGGATGTCCCGGGGGTCTTCAGCCCCTGCGCCAAGTATTGCCTGGACAAGGACATCGAGGCCTTTTACAGAGACCTCTACGACCTGCCCCCGCGCAGGGACGGGGAGAGCAGCGCCCTGTTACAGCACAAGCAGCTCCTGTACCGGCAGACGATGAGTCGAGCGCTATCCCAGTTCACAGCATGTCCCACCCCAACCCCACCCCTGTCAAGGTGAGACTTTACGAACCGACACGGTTTTTCCCCTGCAAAATGTTTTGAGGACTTTTACGCACACGCACATACACACACACGCTTACGCACAGGTAAACCCGCTTGCCGGTGACCTGCCTGCGGCGGGAGGTGAAAGACATCGACTCACGTTACCGCTCTCTTTTGCTCACCCAGACGGTGAGGGGCTGACGCTTGAGGTGACGCCTTATGATCCGGAGCCCCCTCAAGCTCGCGGATGGCCGACTAATACCTGTCGCCCAGTTACAGAATCGCAGACTGGCGGGGTTTGCAGGTCTAGACTGGCTCCGCTGCAAAGCTTCCGATTCGCGTTTAGGGGGGGGAAACAGTTGAGCTCCGGGGCTGCGCAGGAGTTACCAGAGAATCATGACCAACGGAGTGAGGTAACTCACAAGCCTGTGCGTCTCTCTCTCTCGAGTTTCATGTACAGTCGAGGGGGAAGGGAGGAGGAAAGGTTTCGCCCAAGAAACGGGGAGTGAGGTTTTGGACGTCTCATCCGAAAGACGGCACCTCCTCCGACAGTCCAAGACCCCCACCCCACCCCACCATTGGAACGTCAGCTTAGACTATATGATTCCAAATCCAGACATAGGGTCTTGAACCTGCAACCTTCCGACTCAAGGGTGGGACAAAGAGAGAGAGGGAGGGAGAGAGGTTCATTTTACATCTTGAGCTGGCCGACATTTATTGCGATGACGCAGATTTTCACGCGAGTCATTGCTTTTGGGGATGGAAGCTCCCACATTTACGCTCTCGTGTGTCATGGCTGGGTGTGTCATTCCGTGCGCGTGCGTGTGTGTGCGCGTGTGTGAGTATGAGTGTGTGTGTGCGCGAGGGCGTGCGTGCGTGCGTGCGTGCGTGCGACTGACATATTGCGAGATACACAGAGTACGTCGGCAAGACTGTAAAGGACTGAAGCTTTGCGACCATGAGTTTTTCCGTGCTGTAATTAATCACACTTTCTGAATAGTCCGTTTCCTTCTGAAGCGGGTGGTGTGGAGATGGCTGCGTCACCTTCGCAATGGCTTGTTCACGCTATTAATATTTGTGTTTGTAACTTAAACTGACTGGTTTCATCTCCGCACTCGTGTCTCCTATTCTTGTGTGGGGTTTTTTTTTTTAATGATGCAAAAGGCGTGTAAAAATGTACCCCGGCTACTGGAGTTGCAGCGCAGTGTGTTGTCTTGACCAGCTATTAAATTCTGTTTTCAATGTTCTTTGATCTAATAATAATAATAATAATAATAATGATTCCCTGATTGAAATCGACTGCAAAAAGACGTGAGTTACGAGGACTTCACTAAGGTTGGAAATGAGACCTGATTACAGAGGTGTAGCACCTTTTGCTGCGTTGTTGCTCACTCCCCCCCCCACCCCACCCCACCCCCACCACGCCCACCACAATCAATGAGGGCCACCATTTTCATGGCAGATAATGTTCAGTAACATGGACGAATGGATGGAGTGAGGAGGTCACATCTGCCGTAACATGGATGGATGGAGCCAGGAGGCCAAATGCATCACTGACAGATTGTTTCAGCTCCTCTGTTGTCTCACAGCACTGTTTTGTAACTGGTGGTGGGGAGGCGGTGGGCTATGGGGGTTAACATGACTTTGTGGAGACTCCTTGTACTCTAACCCCATTATTACCCCGCTCTTTCCTTCCTGCCCCCCACCCCCCCCCCCCACTCTCTCTCCCCCTCCATGCTGATGTGTGTGCCTTTGCTCACTCCCACCTTCTCTCCTCCCCTCTTCCACCGGAGCTGCTGTCTAACCCCATTTTACCCGGAGATAAGTCTCTTGTACAGACCTGGTGAGATGCAGCACTTATCTGATTGTGAGCGAACCTGCACAGTTGTCAGCAATCAGATGTTTCCTCTCGAAAAGATTCGCAGCTTTGATAGGAAGGTGTTTTTGATGGGGGTGGGTGTGGAGGAGAGAGGAGGGGGGGTGGGGGAAGTGAAGGGCGCAGGAAGCACTGTATCTGTACATCAGTTGCGTGTAAATTTATGGAGCGATACGGAATGAAAATCAGAGCGAGAGATCGAGAAAGAGCGAGCGAGCGAATACTGCTGATTGTGCCACAGAACGATAAGGCGATGAATGAAAACTTTTTTAAGATCACTGACCAGTTTCCCGGGGCTTAGCGGCAGAAAGGCTGGGAACGGAACCTGAGCCACCAACGCGTTGCTGAGATAAAGGATTCTGCTTCACAGAACGCGCTGTAAAGTGCAGTGACTGCGCATTTTGTGGGCGAAACGCGGCGGCCAACTGCGCACGGCGGAAGGTTCTTTTTTCAAACTCGGCTGCAGATTTGAAAAAAATTCAATGGGAATTTTCGAAGAGGAAGTCACCTTTTCAACTCCGTTCTTTGATTTGTCCTCCAAAACGCACAGTCACTACACTTCGCAGCAAAATCCCGTGAAGCTCTTTGACTTGACGCTGGGTTAAGGCGCCGCAACGTATCAAATGCAAGGATTTTCATTATTATTATTGTTATGGTTGACATTATAGTGTTCAGCAGTGTGCCACGAGGGGGCACCGTTTACCACAACTGTGGGGGGTGGTGGGGGTGGGGGGGGGGACATTTCACTTGTGTGTTGAATGTCGGAATAATAGGTATTTTTTTTGGGGTGGGGTGGGGGGGAATAATCCTGGGTTAAAATTCGCGCCGTTTCTTAACCCATTCTGGACTGAATTGGGAGGATCGTTGTATTACCGCTACTGTCGTTTATTGCGGTGGTTTGTGAGCACGAACCGCCCCCCCCCCCCCCCACCACCCCACCCCACCACCCGCCATCCATCCCATCCTGGTGTCTGTCCTGAAATCAAGTCACCCCCCCACCTTTGCCGCCTCTTAACCTGCGTCCTCTTCTACTGTCTCGGTGCGCCCGAAAGTATTGGTCTGGGTTTAACTGTTTCAATCGCATTTAAAATGTTATTTAAAGGGACGAGCTTGTAGGGCTATGGCGAGAGTGCGGGGGGGATGTGGGGTTGATTTGGTAAGCTCTTTTGAAAGAGCCGCCACAGACGCCGATGGGCCGAATGGCCTCCTTCTGCGCTGTATAATTCTATGACGCTATGATTCTAAGGTCCCGTTCTGAATCGTCTTCTCACAAGGCAGACGTGAAGGGCCTGTCTGATCGTTGCTCCTACTGACTCCCTCTCACACTCTGCGTCCCTCCAGCAGGAGAGAGAGCGAGAGCGAGAGAGCGAGAGCGCATTCCATCCCGACAATCCGTCCCTGGGATCTCCACGTGTCGGTGGGACGGGGCGGAGGTGGGGGTGGGGTGGGGGAGTGCGTTATATAAAGTTGTTGTTGCTCAGGCTGTCTGTCTGGTAAACACACGCAGCTCCCGGTACCCACTGTTGTTCTGCCGAACAGAGGAATCAGGTCTCCTGGCTGCGTAGGGTAACGACACTGACAGCAACACGTGCGTCGCAGCAGAGCGAGTATTCAGCTGCACGATAGGGGTGTCGAGATAAATTGCGTGCCGACAAAACACGGGCCAGCAGGAGCCCCAGATAAATCGTTCTCCCCTTTTCAGACCTAATTGCCAGCGCCGCCTTTGCTGTCGGTCTTTAGACACGTCCCGTTTGTCCGATGTTATTGCTTGCGAGTCGATGCGAGCGGAAGAACTGCGAGCGATTCGTGGAAGAAATGCGAGCGATTCGTGGAAGAAATGCGAGCGATTCATGCGGAAAGGAGGGGGCCAGCCAGGCAGGAAGCCGGAGCTGGTCGAGCGGAGGCGAGGCAACGGGGTAGTGGGTTTGGAGGAGTAAAAGGAGGTCGGAGAGAGAGAGAGAGAGAGAGAGAGAGAGAGCGAAGGTTAGGGAGGGGAAGTGCCTGCCCAGGGCGTGAAGGGATTTGAAGACGGGGAACGCGAGGACGTTGAAATCGTTATGATTTGCGCCATCGCACGTCAGACTGCCCCACGAGTACGGTCGCTGGAGGAGTTAACACCAGGAAAGCACGACGCGCAAGCAATGACATCGGAGGACGGAAGCCTCTCTCGTCGCGGTGGCTTAACCGGACGCCCGAATGGTCTCGCCCAGGAGCGCGAAATCTTTTTCCCTTTATTTTCCGAAACGAATCCTCTTTGGGGGGGGGGGGCTTTTCAGTTAAATACGCGCTGCGACCCGGAACACGCTGCGTTCCTTTCTTGCCTCGCAAAGGCACCATGGCAACGCACTATTTCCCCTGTTGCTGCCTGGCGAAGTATTTAAACCCGTCACGAATCTGTCGCATTCCTATCCCAACCCTGTGCGGAGCAGAGCCGGCTGGTGTTATAGATACAGAGAGCTTCAGAGAGGGGGTGGGGTGGGGCGGGGGGGGGGGGGGGATTGAACGTGGGGGTTGAGGAGGATTAATGGGGGTGCGGAGGTAGGAGAGGTTTGGAAGAGGGTTAATAATAATAATACTATAATAGTAATAATCATCCTTGCCTTTGATACAGCGCCATATCACATCGCTGAGGCGTCGCAAAGGGCTTCACGGGACACACTGTGAAGTGGATTGACTTTAAATTAAATTAAATTAAATTAAATTAAAGTGCGCCGTATTTTGCGGACGAAACGCGGCAGCCAGTTTACGCACAGCAGCGTCCAGCAAACAGCTTGTGGAGCGGGGGACCCGATTTTCATTTGGGTGGTGGGGGGGGGGTGTGGGGGGAGATTGTCGTCCAGGACACCGGGAGGGAGAGAGAGAAACTCCCACCTGAACAGAGAGAGAGGGGACCTGGGTTTAACGTCTCACCTGAAGGACCGGGATGGGGTTGAGTAGGGGCCGGGGAGAGGGGCGGGAGAGGGAGAAAGAGAAATAGCGGTAGTGGATAGCCAGCGAGCCTTTCCCATTGAGCCAAATAAATAGACTTAAGACTCGCGTGCTGAGCGGAGAGGGGAAAGCTTCAGCAGGAATGAACAGAACGTGCTGAGCGCAGAGGAGAGGGGCTCGAGTTGCCGGTAACAGCTGCACAGTCTGAGCTTAATGGCCCAGCGCAACCTGGGTTTAATGGCGGAAAAGAAATCATTTACTTAATTCGACTTCATGTAAACAGCTCCTCTGAGCAGGCGAGGGAGGATTATATGTATGTTTGCGTGTGTAAAGAGCAACAAGGCTATAGCCAAAGCCATAATCCAGCCCTGCTTGGAGACACCTGGCCTTTCCCTTCTCTCCCCGGCTTTGACGTCTGTTGGTTCTTGGCGCTGAGAAGCCGTTAGAGAAACAGAGGCCGTTTGTAGTTGGGTTTGTTTTTTACGGATCTGCGATAAGGACAGAGGGTCAATATACAAGATGTTTCTTCCTGATGTTCAGCTGCTCAGGGAGAGAGGGGATTCACCGGGCAGGAGGCTGGGCTGACACTTGTACTGGAGCAGATAATGCTTCGGCTGCAGTGGGAGTAACGAGCGCAGGTTTTGGGCACTTCATCAACAGCTGAAGGAGGTTGGTTTGTGGCAGTCTGGGGAGGGCTGGACCTGGCAACAAGGCAGCAACTGGTACAAGCAAACGGCTGTCGCTTGTACTTTGCGGAGATTGTGGGGTGGGGGGAAGCCACTGCTAATAGGAGCCGGATGACTGACATCTCACAAGCGGCCAGGAGATAAATACCGGAATCATCTGCGGAGTTTGGTAAACTCTTGGACGACAAGGTTTGCTTTAAATGGATCACACACACACACTCTCTATCTCTCCATCTGGAAGGACCGCATTCCTGCTTATCTAACACATCAGGAGTCCTGTAGCTCAGTGGTTAGAGCGTTTGGGTTCGATTCCCGGGCAGGGCCAAACCTTAGGCAAATTTCCTCACTCCACACACACACACACGCCTCTGTTTACCAAGCGGTAAGTAGGAACCCGGTTGTTAGTTGATTAGCGGATCGCCTTCCGGGGGTAATAATCCCTTAAAAATAATAATAATAATTTGGTCGCTCAATCCACGGCTGTTTGTGGGGACGCTGCTGTGCGCAATCGGCTGCCGCGTTTCGCCCACAGAATATACAGTCCATCCACTTTACAGTATGTTCGGTGAAGCGCTTTGAAACGTCTCAAAGACGTGATAAGGCACTGTATCAAACGCAAGGATTATTATAACCGTTACCAAGAAAATATTAGGCGCAGGTTGGCTTGGAGGGCGGGGGGGGAGCCCAGAGTGTGCGTCGGGTGACTGTTGGAAGTTAACCAACTAAACCTATGCGAACAGACTCGTTTCAAACAGCTCAGTGTACACGGTGTGAAAATCCTCCCCGCTCACTTGCCTACACGTTGCATCTGTTTGCCTTTCACGAAAAAAATCAATTGGAACCATCGCAATTTGACTGTCGAAATGCCCTGAAATACACTTTGTGATTGACTTTACGCCAAAGCGGTTTTCTTTAACCTGCTTCAAGCTGACAGCTTCCCTTGTATCATTTGTTTGCCTCAACGTGATTAAAACGCCTTTCAGTACAGGAGGAGAGTAATTGGTGGTGACTTAAGCATGAAACCAAACCCAAGGAAAAGAAAAGTGACCTCTTTATCAACTAATAATAATAATAATGCTACCAATAATAATCCTTGCATTTGATACAGCGCCTTATGACCTCTTCTGGATGCCTCAAAGCGCTTCATGGACTACACTGTAAAGTGAATTGACTGTATGTTTTGTGGGCTAAAAGCAACAGCCGTTTACACATAGCAGCGTCCCGCAAACAGTCACGAATGGCGTGACCAATTTTATTTGGGGGATTGTCCGCCAGGACACCGGGAGGGAGAGAGAGAAACTCCTTTCTCTTTTCAAATAGCGCCGCGGGATCTTTAACGTCCACCCGAACAGGCAGACGGGGACCTCGGTTTAACATCTCCTCCGAAGGATGGCACCTCCAACAGTGCAACACCACCAGCATATCATTGGGGCGTAAGCTTAGACTATCTGATCCCAAGTCTCGACGTAGGGTCTTGAACCCACGACCTTCTGATTCAGAGGCGAGAGAGACAGAGAGAGAGAGAGAGAGAGAACACCACCACTGAGTCAGGCTGATAATTCTTTGGATAAGATGTTAAACCGAGGTCATGTCTCCCTGTTTGGATGCATATTAA